GTGACATCATGTGTCAATATTATCGTCATGTGTACCATGTTTGTCATGGCCTAGCTGAGGTCAGACATGACCAGGTATGGCTGGCTATAAGATTCAGACCTACAGGCTGGCACCGCAAAGTCGCATAGGTGCCTAGAAACTACAACAATTCTAAATTTCTGCCAAATGTGCCATGCATTTGGAATGTTTTCCCATCCTATTCACTTAAAAAATAACCCAGATGTCTTGAAAAGTACTTAACATATATTGTATATGTATTTACACCAAGACTTGTCAAGTTATAAAACATGGCTGAAATAATTTTAAAGAAATTGTGCTGCTGCAGTGATTACAATGGAGCTTCCATAGCCATCTTGCCCGAATGATGGCATTACATCAGCCGCATCATGAAGTTGACAAAAAACTAAGTGCCGTTTGTAGAAACTGCAGTGCACCACAACAGTCCTTGTCGAGGCTTATAAAGTTTAGACAATGACGTGACCTCGAGATGGCCTACACAGACTCTGCCAGAACACAGATAGTGCAAGCGCTGTAGCATTCTCCTACAACACCAAAGAGTCTAAACCTTCCATACCTGTTTTGATACCCAGAGATGCACAATTTGGTTATCTAGGGCCTTCTATTTTACTCGTCCATGTTCTGACAAAAGCACTGTAAGGCATTTTGATGTCAGAGCTTTCTAAAAAAAACTTTAAACAGGCACTTCCAAGTTCACTTTGGCAGCCAGATAACATTTCATAAGCTATCTCGTTCAACATTGCACTTGGTATCATTACTTCTCTCAAAAGCGTAAAAAAAAGACTTCATAAGCTGCCTTCGTTAACTCCTTCGTTAGTAGTGTTCTAAATGTGGCAACATCGCTCTGTTGGCTTCAGGATTTATATTTGTACATATTTATATATACGAACATACACAACTACAGCAAAAGTTCGTTGATTAGAATGTCCTAAAAAAGTGTTCGAATCAACAAAATGCTCATTTATCAAAAGTATTAACAACAATAAAAAGTGTGTGTTACACTAATACATAATTTTTTGGTGAATACATAAATCCTAAACTTATTCTGCACAAGAGCAGTGTAAAAGCCACAACTTTTATCATCTTGTTTCTTCTCCATGCAACGATAACACCAGACTCCAATGTTTAATTGACCCAAAAAGTGCTCTGCACTTTTCCTTTATTATGACCCACCACAGCTACCATCACCATATGCATGTGACGATAGTTATTTTGGACTGGCAGCTGATTATTCCAACGTCGCAATGTAGCAAACAAGTTCTGTTCCAGCATACGGATTGTGGCTGAAAGCTCTTAATTCTTAACAGCTTCCATCACATTTGAGTTTTTTGACATTGTACATATCGCATCAAGTTAAAAAAAAACTGCCTCATTTCGATTGTCTGCGAACACCGTTTTCGCTCTTTTGACTTTCAAATTTGTGGCGCTTTGCACTCTACGTGCTCCAAAGATCGTCTTAATTGACCATTTTGCAGCAAATGTGACCGAATTACAAGAGTTTGGCGCCATTAAGCAATGCATACGCTGACTGAAACCAGGAAACATGTCCGAATTAAACAATTTTCTAAACTAACGAGCTAAGGGCCAATACGGCATTTGCACATATTTTGCATTTACTTAGTCACTGGAACAATCTCGATATTTCATCTGCGATGCCACAAAGCGGGGCCTTAGAGATGCTTCCTCTCGCTAGCTGTTTGAGGGATTTATGACATCACGCAAAAAAAATTTAAAAAAAAGTTCTGCAGTTCCTTTTTTTTAACCTATGAGGTAAGCATGACCATTCGAAGCAATTCATCTAACAACCACAACATTTGATCACGTTGTGAAGTTTGTTACAGCAGGGAGCGTAGAATGTCTTCACAAAGCTGTAGAAGCAAGTGAACTAAAGAACACACATCACTGCACATGCACAAGAAGAAGCCACTGCATCTTGCTACAGCGCGTGCAGGAGCAACAGTCATACTCAGACATTCATGACAGCACCTTCTAGCAAATAAACAGCTTTATTTACCGCGTTCAAATTAAGTGTCGCACGGGCCCCGCATAGGCACATATACAAATGGGCTTGACCCGCAAGAGAAAAAGTAACACTTCCTCGTCAATTTCACGAACTCCAAGGAATATACACAAAAACAAATTGAATGACACTACATAACATACATCTCCCCACACTATTACTCTAAAATCAATACAGAAGGTCCCAGCAGTAATAGAAGCTGTGAATCCTTCAACACAGGCAAACGAGCCTGTCTTGTGAGACTAACCTTAATGTCACATCACCAGGGGGCCCGTACCGTACCAAGAAATACGGAATAGGACTCCGTGTTTCTCCTTTCTAATTGGCCATTTTGAAATACGCCAAGCATCGCCACATGGGAAGTGCTTGTGGCAAGAAGCACGACGACCCGATTCAAACAGAATAGTGTTCCACATTCCGCTGTACGGTACGTGCCCGCAAATCACTGTTGCGGAACAGAATACACTGTCCAGTAGTAATGTGAAATAAATGATTCAGTGTCATTCCTACGTGAGAGAAAAAAAGTGAGACAATACTGTGTACAAGAAAGAACACACTTAGGTCCCTGCTTTCAAAATCAGAACAAATTTGCACACAGTTGTGAGAAAAAATGTTTCATTAAAACGAAGAAGATAGGAAGCCTGGTCCGCTATGCACTTGATAACACTGCATCATAAAATGTGAATGCTAGCGGAAAGTGCAAGAAACTCTTAAACACCCCGAGATCCCTCATTGTCGCACAAACAGAACAGTCCTTCGGCTGTAGCCCCTCAACGACGCCGCTCAAATCAAATGTGCGACACAGGTGAATACATGTCAGCACCAGGGAGCAATGCACAGCAACAATCTACTTCACAGTTTCTTGTAGAAAGCTACCAAATAAAAAGCTCATGGGTACACTGCAGTGTGTGAGTTCCTGTTGTGGTTTTTCTCGATTTACGCCACTGGACCTGAGTGTGGTAAAGTGATGCCTAGCAGATACGGCGATTCGCTGAAAGTGTGACCGATCACAAACAGAAATATACACTCCCGTATGTCATACAAGGACACTTAAGTGTTGTCTACCTACACTTTTCTTCCCTAAGAGACAAAAAAAGTTAACACTTTTAAAGAGGAGTAAGAAGGAAACATACATAACACCATCTGCTTCACATCTAGTGAGAGCACATCCAGCTTCTTGTGACGAGTTGTTCTAGTACACGGTGTAAGAAAAATAATTTAGCTCTTGACAGTCCTAGACTTTCGAGACAGAGTGTGTGTTCAGATTATGGTCGCCTTTAGTACATGCGTTGGCCGCATTTTCTTGGGAGGCGCTGCAACGTGGGGACCTAAATGAACTAATTGTGACAAGGCGGATGTGCAGTTTTACTTTTTCTTCATGTACTTTTCTCAATGCACCATGCGCTTGCTAGGAACTAAAGCTAGAAATGTGCGCCAAGCGTTTCACGACCACAGTGTGGTTCTCATGTATGCAACGCTGTTATGAACGCTACAGACGTTGTCCCTCGTCCCTAGTACATACACTGGCCACAGTTTCGCGAGAGCGAGGCGGGAGTGGGGGGGTTACAACGTAGGAGCCTAGAGGGACCGATAGCGCCAAACACTATCTGGACGCACTGAGGAACGCAGTGTCAGCACCTAAACTATTTTTCTCACGCCATGTTCTGGTACTAATCATTTTCTTGTTTTGAAACAGTATAATGTGACCAATGTCAACTACAGCTTTAGATTAACGAAAAGCAATGAAAGAAAAGAGAGATAAAAAGAAAGCAGAACCATACTACAGCTCTTCCTGTCTACATCAAAATGATTGCTCTTCACCAACAAAGAAAGCTTTTCTTCCAGAAATCAAGCAGTTCTGATATATATCCTTTCGAGGACATATCACATGCTTCTTTTTGCAGCGTACTCAACACTTCTTGCTTTTCTAATCCAAATGTACCAAAGGGTCATCCTAACTGGTGGACTACCGAAGGAGCAATCTTTTGGTTATCAGAAGGATTAATTAGTTTAAAAGCAGAGGTCCGAGTCAGTACATTTCATGACGTGACAGCACAAAAGCATCAAGGCAGCAGAGCCTTCCACTTTTCATCTTTGCATCTTTTATTGCTTTACAAGCTTTTTTTTCCAAGACACGAGTCACTTTTCCTGGCAATTTGTAAGGCTAATTTACTAGTAAAGTTCAGTGGCTACACATTCCACACTGTAATCAGTCAAAATGTAAATAGTTAACATTAATTAGCATATCTGAATTTGAGCTTATTCTGCGAGACCTTTCTTTGTCAGGACTGTGCTTTCTGTGTGGTTGCCTTTTGGCAATCAAGTTGGTGTCAAAGAAAGAAACTGGAGCACATCACAATTATGCCGACCATAACACACGAAATAGATTAACAGCACGTAAGCTACTGAAGCAATACATTCAATGATCGTGATTTGTTGAGCAATGCATCTGTTAAAATCTCGTACCTCTACTGGGCTAGCTCCATTCTGAAAATCCCTGTCTAAATTGAAACTATTATGCTTGTCGTTTATTCAATTATGAAAACATAAGTTGTATCGTATTCATAGCATTGATCCTAAAATTAAATTACACAATTGATTGAACAAGCACTCTCACACACACATGTACACATGCACACACAAAATAAGTGTTGCCCTATACAATCATAAACACACCATGCATGGTTCTTCTGCACTAAAGAATAACTGACGTGGGAATCACTGACGAGATATGGTGCTTCATTACACAGCATTCACAGTCTCCATGCCGCTGTAAGTCAAGACATGGCTGAGAAATGAACGCAAGTCCTGGTCAAGCAGACGTCCACCCATGTCTGCATTTTTGAACTAAATGTGAACTTTTCCCAAAAGAGAGAGAGAGAGAAAAATAAAGATCAAAGACCACTGTAAGGCTGAAGTGAAAGTACACACTGGCTTCAGTACCTGAATATGCCTTGGCAGGCTGGAAAAATAACCAAAAAAGAAGTATTAAGCAACAAATGAACTAAGTCAGCAAGAAAATTTGGTCCCTAGCAAGAACAAGCCAAGAGTGAGAAAGAGTGGACCACCACTTGGCCTAGGAATTGTAGCCCCTAAGACAACTGATGATCAAGTGTGTCCCGACATTGTGGAATATTATATGGAAGGAAAGTTGAAACAGACAGATGACAAAAGTACACTTGACAAGAGAGACGCAATGTCTTAGACTAACGGTGAATTCCAATGACAGATTATGAGTGGCTAATAACCTCTACGCTAGAGTACTCCATTCTTGCTACTGAGGAAGAAACATTGAAGAGGTGCTGCGACCAAATAATGTCCCATTTCTGGAAAGCCAATTCATGCTGGCAGCGTCTTGCAGCAGAAAAGAGAATTGCGGCCATTTTGACTTCCGAGCAAACCGGTCACGAATTGCTCGCGTCCCACCGCAATCATGGAGCGAGAATGGAGACACTTTCGGCTGCACTCAGCCGGTAGTGTCTCCATTTCTTTTTTTTTTTCGTGGTTGCGGCCTTGCACTGCAAGGCGTTGCCAACTGAAATGTCATCGCCAGATAGTATTATTTTTGCATTTATGCGACGTTACCTGGACACCTGCGGATGCCCATTCTGACAAGAGTTTCACATCCTAAACATTTCTTTCTCCGTGATTCCAGCGGAGCCCAATCGAAATAAATCTACCAATGGAACAGAGGTGCTCCTGCCAGAGCAAATGGCAGGGGGCACTAGCATACATCCACTTCTCAAAGTGTCCTAGCATTACTCGAGTTTCATGCCATTTTTGCCAACATGAGCACACATGGAGAGAACAGGGCCCACTTGGGCATTGCATTACAATGATCACACGGTACTCCACACTCCGTGCATGCATGGGACACTAGCAACTTCCAAGTTGAATCCGCCGCTTTTCCCAAAATAGAGATCTGCCCTGTGAAGTGGATCTGGAAGCTGCTCCAGATCTACCAATAAAACATACACCGAGCACTCTCAATTTCTAAGTGAACAGACTAGCTCAACGTGGAGCAACAACACTGCTACCGGAAGTGCTCCGAATCTGAAACAGAAATTCATTATAACAGTTGTTGTTAGGAAGCCTTATTATAATTACTGCACTGAGAGCCCGAAGACACTGTTGTACCTCTTCAGAAGTAAACCTTGTCTCATACACATGTACCCTCTTCGCTTGTGATGCCTGTTACAACTGTATGTCCCTTATACACCCGTATTTCGTACTTGAAGATTTCATCCCAGCAATTTTCCAGTCTGTTCTGTTCAACTTCATTTTTTCTTTCTTTCGACCCAATATAACAAAGCCAAAGTCATCAAAAGGTTAAACTAAGACTTTACACATACCACTGCGATGTGAGCTTCCCTCTACTAGGGAGAATTAATCATAACAGTACAAAAGCAGACAGAACCACAACAATAAGTCCCATGGTTACCAAAGAGTTACTTGTGTCTTCCTTTACGCCTATTATATTTATGTGCAGAGATAGAGAAGCAACACCATGCTAGATCTTCCTTAAACAATAGCTGCTACAGTGCTGCACGTAACTTGAAACAAATGCGTCTTAAGGTCATCATGAAGCCACGACAGCAACGAGTCCGACAGGTGACGCATCAATATTAATTGAATTGGCTGATAAAGCCGTCATTCTATTACTAAATTTGAATTGACATGCCAGAGCCAATTAAGTTATGAGTGCTAGTTGCAAGGAAAGTTGGGAAAGCTTTGTACGATTTACACTGCTACGATAACAACAGTTGTGCCGATTTTCCCAAAATCCATGTGTTCTAGATGCTTTGAGTACCGTAAAACAGCCACACTAATATCATGCAAGGAATTTCTGACCGTGCCAATGTTGTGTCGAGAAGTGTAATGTCCGTACTCGCACCGATGTCTTATAAAACGGTTTTCCGGCAACGAGCTTTAGAGACCTGCTCAAACAAGAGCTACCATCTCACTGTATGTTCAATGCTGACTTGACTATAGTGTCGGCATTAATACAACGCCAACCGTCCCAAACAGCAACGAAAAAAAAAAAACGCCTACATGGAGTCGGTGCGATAGGGTCATCAAAAAATGTTCATGCATTTCATGCCTCTATTTACATATGCAAAGACTGTGCAACCCCATCAGAAAGCACTCTAAGACTGATGGGAAGTGAAAGGCCTGGGATAGAAAACAAGAAAAAAGCTGGCCCAGGCTTTCTTGTTCTTGTGTAGAATTTCTAGCATACAAAGGGACATCTGAATGACTTTCTATGAAACAAATATCGCCATGCGTTACCATAAGAACAATGTAATAAGCTCCTCCTTAAGGAATTGTTGCAGCTCAAGGCCCAGCAACAAGCACAACAGAAAAAAAAAAAAACAGAGAACGCTTGCACCAGCACACATGCCAAGTACCTGTCTGTGTTGAAAAAGCAATGCCAGCCATCGTTGAACGCATCAAAAGCGACCTAAATGGAAGAGCATCTTCCAAAAATATTGACTCCTGATGAGGTTAAATGACAGCCATATGCAGCACGCCAAAAACATTGGTACTTTCCGTATGAAGTTTGGGATTAAAAAGAAAATGAAGAAATGAAAAGAATAAAAAGCGCTCACGACACAGCATTATGAAACTCTAATGAGGACATTGAGAAATATCCAATTTGTGCTTTCTCTCCACTTTTACCGAGCTGGTCAGTGGATGTACTTTCAAGGCCTTCCAAACATTTAGAGAACGCCAATTTATGTGACGTTACCTGGACACCAGCGGATACCCATTCCAATAAGAGTTTCATATCCTAAACATTTCTCCCTCCGTGATTCCAGCGGAGCACAGTCAAAATAAATCGCTCCGACACTCCACCCCCAACGAAACAGCGGCTTCACAGCCAAGCTCTCTTAGCCCACCATAACACTCGTCTAGCAAGGTTCTGCAATTAGCAAACCGTATGGCCAGTCACATGATAAACAAAAAAAAAAAAAGAACAGCAGTCTTGCAACTGTCCTCGAAACACATTGCACAATGTCCACTTGACAGAATTCGTTCAGTAAGCTGCCGCGCTGGAGCCCGGCACTCCTGCCCGGCAGCTTCAAACGTGCCTCAAATTCCCAGTTGCCGGACCTGTAAACTGGGTCCCACAGCAGCAGCAGCGTTGGGAGCTGGCCAGTCTGGTACGAAATGCGGACACGAAAACCTTGAAGATGAAAACAAAAACCGAGCAAACAAAGAAACTTCTGCCCCTTTTGTGGTCACACGAGCACAGCTTCAGCCACTTGTCGAATGATGATGCAGGCACGCTCAATGTCCTCCTCGGTCAGAGAGGCTGAAACTGCGATGCGGATGCTCGCTTCTTTGGGGGTGTGCTCTCGGTCTTCAAGGTACCGGGCGCGCGTCAGCGCTACACCTGCCTCCCATGCCTGCAGACAGGTTGAAAGAACAGAAGTGATGCAACAAGTTACAGATAAAACTGGGATGACGGGGTGAATATTCGAGTTTCAAATTCGTATAGTATAATAGACAACTGAATAACTGATTCGACTTTCAAATAGGTAGTACTTAAAGAAGTTTCAACCAATTTTACAGGACGAATATCTAAAACATAACAAAGACTAATGGTCGATCTCAGTTGGGATGAGTTGGCTAACACTAGGGCTAACGCTAAGGCTAACGTTGTTAAGCCATTCATTAAATCTTCCACTGATATTCTAGTTCAAAAGCAAGCACATATTTATTTTACAGGAAATTATCTCATCTCCACGCGTCATGGCTCCAGCAAAGACTGTCAAAGTGCTAGTGCCAAAAATTATCGGTACACTGAGCTCCGACCTTAAAGTCAAGAGGTTCAAAAATATTTCAGTGAGCCCCTGATCCCAAGAAGGGATGACCTTTATATACTGAAAAAGCTGCACTTTATCCAGGTATTTCCTAAATTCCTTCACGACACCTTCCCATCCCTGCTACTCGAGTGCCCAGTGAGTGCATGTCTTCAAATGCAGGAAAGACTGTGACATCACAGAGGGATAGCCTGAAGCCCTGTCATATAGATCAACTCGTGTTTTTGCGTAAAAATCTGTAGTCTTTTGGAAGCTGTCCCTCATGGCATTATGTGCTCGAGGACATGTGCATATTTCATATCTGTGTTTTTTCAATATTGAATAAAATGTTTAGTATTCAATATGCGATGTTCTTGGTCAATATTCAGAACTATTTGACTGAAATTCGATTCAAGATAAAATTTCACTGTTCGCACGCCCCGGAAAAGTTCTCCACTACTTCACTTCAGGAAAGTAAGCCAGTCAAACTTGTGTGCCTGACTTAACACAACACAGACAAGATGAGAAATGGGAACACAACACAGGTACAGATGATGAGGTGCCGTGGTATGCATTTGAAATCACGATCTTTTATCTTTCCCCTATTTCGCTGGCCCCCATCGTATCAACACGCGTGCTTTCTTGCGTTTTCCAAGTGATCTTTTTTTTCTCACCTGATCATAAATGTCAGAAAGTTATTGCTCAATGTAAAATGCACATTATTGTGAATCAGGAGCTCCTTGAATGTTATGACCAATTTCAAGCAAACTGCATGCATGACAGAAAAAGGAGTGTGAATTTTCCAACTTAAGTGACTACCAACGATTCTGTTGAAATGTACATTTGAACCTGTATTAGAGTCAATACATTTCACCCACAGACTGGATTATGGCTATCGACTCCTGTTATACTTCAGGCACGGGATTTCGAAGGGATGTTACACAAGTTTTCAATGTAGGCATTTACGAAGACACATATACTGTGGGGCCTCGCTGTGGAGAGCACGCCACACTCTTGGTGTGAACAGACACAGTAGACACAACCGGAACGAACCAAACAGTAAACATTTATTTAACTACCTTTAGAACGACGATATCGTCAGCCGAATAAATATAACATCAATTGTGATTCACACGCTGAAAAACCTTACACATAATTATGCAACACTCAACACAATAACACACGTAAGACGGCTTCGCCAACGCTTGACTCACCACGTGGGCCCACCGCAGACGGCTCGCGGTGCCATTTATGGCAGACCCACCGCTGGAGGCAACCGTTCACAACAACCGCCACCCGCAAATGAGCAACTCGCTCAACTCTCTCTGCCGCCACCAAGGCTTGCTGCTAGGAGTCACCGCCGGCGCTACCGATCTAACAACCATGATGATGATGATAGTGGTGATCTTCGCTCGCGAACACAATGCCACCTACCGCTCAATAGTTGTGATTCCGCAGTACATATTCTGTACGAGAAACGTGCACCACGCGACGCAAACAACTTTACAGGGGGTGTCAGCACCCTCACATCATGTACATTTGCAACTGCATGGAGCTTTCGCAACTACTTTAAAACTTGTTGCATCTAAGTAGTGTTGCATCTAAGGCTAGACAGGTGAATAGGGTGGCTCTCACTCTTCACCTTATGAACAATATCGTCGAGAAGCTTTGCACATTCCTTCTTCGAGCGGCTGCCAGCAACGTACAGGTGCTTGACAGGTGACTCAGCATCACCACCTAGACGCAACTGTGCAATCCTGTTTTCAAAGAAATAAAAAAAGGAACATGTTGATATACAGTATAAGCAAACCATATCGACCAGGTTGCAATATGGAGGCACTAAATACCATATAAAACAACAGTTTTCCATAGATGGGTACCATATAGCTCTGCAAGTGAATACCATAGATGACTGCCACCACCAGCGACTCATGGTAAATAAAACCATTCGCAGTATCGAGCGCACAGTGTTGAGTTGAGTGTTTTTTGGGAACACACAACTCAACGCTGCGCTTTCGAGAACTTCATCAATAACCTTAAACTCTTCTCTTGTTTTTAGGTGGTCAGCTGAGAAAAGGCCAAGTGGCCTCCCTGTAAAAGCAAAGGTGCCAGTTTCAAATGTTTAACCACGATGAATTTTTCGTCAAGTGGGAAGTCTTCTCTCCGTATTGACCCATATGCATAGACATCAAAATTAACATAGATCCACGCATATCTGTGTGGACCTATAGGGATCAATTTGCATAGAACCGAACATAGACGAATCCGGATAGAGCCAATCGTAACTAGCTGTAAAGCGTGAAAAAGTGTAAAACAATTGGCACGTTTTTCTCTCAACAGAAATGACAGCATATGAACTTAAAAAACTTGCCTAAGCTTGCAGCTCTTTCAGAGTTCAGTTACAATAGCAGCAAACCACGACATAACAGACATAAGTATAATGAAATACTGTCAAGAAGTATTTCTTTACCATTACAATGCAAACTGTACAGGTTTATATCAAACAGTATGAGATAATATTGAGGCCAATTTGCGGCCAGAATGTACGGTTTGCGCCAGTCAAGCAGCTTGATCCGGCAATGCCTCTCATGCCAACAACAGCATGATGTGAAGGAATACACCCAAGAAAAAGCAGGCTACTGTGGTAACCAATTACGCACCATGTGTTTGGCACGAGATGACTGAAGTGTTCTGTAGACACAAGTAAAAAGTAAACGTTCGTAGTAGAGCCATCAATGAACATGGACGAATGTGCGAGCAGCAGTGTAAATGTGGACGCTTTGTATGAAAACAGTCACTCACCTTTGCAGCTTTTCGTGAACTCGTAGGCAATTCTGCCTCAGCTGGCTCAACAGCTCTGTAAAATGCAAAACAAAGAAGCATACAGTTAGAAAAAAAAGGTCCAGTGTGTATACCACTGGTGGGTCATAGTGCAATTACAAGTGCCCCACCAGGTCGCCACAATGCATGTAAATCGAGTGCTGAAAAAGTTGCGCCACACTGAAGGTGCTTTTTTTTTTTTTAATCCCGGTTTCACCACAAGGGCAAAGTGTATCACATATTATCATTTTCATCAATGAAACTTTCAGTAGGCAGTCGGCACCCGTCTTTGCGTCACCTTCCCTTATCTTGTCATTGCAGTGTTATTGCACTGATTTTTTTTTAACTTTTGAGGTGAAACAATGAAAGCGATAGCAACAAATTGTAATTACATACGAAGCAAGGCTGGCAGCGAACACTTTTTGATCGCACAAATCTGCAGAACGCTAGCAAAAAAAAATACGGCCGCTCCATAAAGGGCTGCGGTTTTCCCAGCGTCTCTTCATGTTGAAAGCACATGCAAGCAGTTTGCTGATCCCAGCAAGATAGCACACGTGCCTGTGATCGTGCCCTTCTGATCAAAGTTCGCAGTTACTCTTTAAGCGACCCCCCCCTCCCCTCCCTGCTCGAAGATGGGCGAGAGGTTTCCGTTGCCTCTCAGCCAGAGTGGCAATCAATGGCAGGCTTCGCTTGCAGGCCGATGTTGTCGCAAGCTCCCCCAGTGCAACGGAGATGGGTTGGCTCGTTTCGTCTCAGGTTCAGCCACGTTCGTCGCACCTATTCATGCGCTTTTTACCCGCGAGTAGATCATACGATGCGCAAAGGAACCTTATCGATTTGCACTTCATGCTGAACACGCCGGCAACAGCAAAACTAGTCGAAAGGGTCCGTGTAATTTCTACTGCAATAAGATCATCACAAATGCCTCAGTGGGGCTCTAACCTGGATGGGACGCCAGGTGATTGATAGCCTGTAGAGACACAGATGCTTGCAGGGGTGGCAGAGATGCTGAGAAGCAGTAGCCCAGACCAGACAGACGCTGGTGCATTGGATGGAGAAAGGTAACAGGGGGATGAGAACAGAATGCAGCATCCTCTGCACAGTCCATCGCATATTCAATATCTCGTCCTTATCAAATAAGTCTGCAACAATTCAATAAGATGTGGCGGCTCTAACCTGACAAGAAAACTCACAGGGTCCCTTAATTAAGCATTCAGGACTCGAAGCCAAAAGCCGTGGTCTTTCTCCTCTCAGTCAATGTATGTTGATCCTGCCCGGCTCGCCTTCAAGAGCATTCTGCACCTAACGTGGTTGTGCACTGCCTCCGAGATTGGAGGAACCTCGCCCCGTCTTGCAATGCCTCCGCGATTAGACTAATTTTGACCAAGCTATGATGCCACGCCATGCCGTTATCAAGCAATGTGATGTCACAAACTTTGGCGATCCAAGATGTCACCATGACATCATACAGTGATGTCATCACACAATGTTGATTTTTGTATCATTCAAAGCTGCAAGACATGAACAGCCACCGATGTGGGAAGCCGACAGTCAAATTTTGCATTTGATGAGGCATCTAAGACTTTCCCCTTAATAAGTTTTTAAATTAATAATACAATGTATCGTTTCCTCAAATGCCAAAAAAAATTAAGGACACTTGGCAAACTCATTGCTGGGTTCGTTGGTCAAAGACCAAGGGATGCACAGCAAGTATGACGATAAAAAAAGGATTTAAGAAAAAGAGATCAAGATGGAAAGAATATATCGGGCGCTGAACTTTAACTGCTCATGCTACAGTGGAGTAAAAAAAACAATAAATCCACCTGCATGTGGCAGTCATATTTAAGAATGATCGCAAAGTGTCATACAGAGGGACCCCATCTGTCCCCCCCCCCCCCCCCCAAAGAAATGGACTGCTTGCTAATGCCGTTTGCACTACTTTTTGCAAAACAAGAAAGACCTCCAACAACTCTCGTGCAAATTCTTGTGTAGGAGTAGCTACACAAATACTCCAGCAGCTTATCTTGATCTCACAAAGCAGCAGTTGTGTGTAGCAAATTGACCTCTTTTTACTTCTTGTTTTTTCTTTCACATTGATACCAATCACAGCATTTGCAAGTAACAATTAGAATGTCTTATATCAAGCCAGGAATTCGGAGGCTTATAAAGAAAGGTTAAACTAAAACAGGGGACCACACAAGAAGTCATGGAGAAGAAAATAATAGATGCAACCTCAAAGATGTACTGACACAAACTTTTAGTATTTTTGGATGGTTGCTCTAAATAAAAATGCTATTATCTAGAACTATGAGAAGAGTATTGCAATGCTTGAGGATGCATCAAATGTATTTTTAATCCACTACCATAAAGACATTTTGGTTTTAGGGGTGGCTTCTCATAGTGAATATCCATTGGTAAATTTGGAGCGGCCGACAAACTCTGCGCCAGAGCCTTCCATTCCGGCTGAGGGCAACCGAAGAGAGTCTACCAATAAAACACAGGTGCTCCTAGTGGAGCAAAGGGCATTGGCGCACACCCGCTTAAGATGAAAGCGCAAGTTGATGCTGCGACGTGCCAGTCATTCTTTTTTTTTTCCTCCAAAATGCGACCCGCCTTCACGCTTGAGAAGCGTGAAGGTCGCATGGTGGCTCGAGAGGGAGGTGTCAGCATAGCATAGGCGAAATGACACATCGGTTTGTTTGATTTACACGGGTGCACGTTTATTGTGCGTCTGCACAAATGCATTCCCCGGCCGTTTGTGCGAACATGCGTCTCTTCACCACTGAGCTGGCCGTGTTTTGCGCTGAACAGTGTGGGGCGCTTGCGACTCCAGTCGAATCCACCACTTCTTGTGTTGTATTTGTTTCGTTTGTAACGCCAGCAAAACCAGCTGCGCGCGCACCATTTCGTTTGGGCCCTGTGCGCCTTCATTCTCCCTTTTCCCCCCCTTCCTTCACCCTCTCCTAATGCCAATGTATATAACGACACTGCGGACAATAAACCCTGTCGTTGACTGCCAAACCATCGTCCTTGCTGCTTAGCTGCGCGCCTTAGTTACAACAGTGGCGATGAGCCCGGAAACCGCCCATGCTGCCGTGAAAGTTAAAGCCGGCGGCCTGCCGCAACAAGTACCGGCGACCATGACTAGCCTCCAGCTCCCAGTTTTCGACGACACAAGAGATAAGTGGAAACCATACCTTGTTCGGGCTGAAGCGTATTTTGAAGCAAATGCTATTACTGACTCCAAAAGGCAGAGAGCACTTCTGGTGGCAGCACTCAGCACGCAGACTGTGCAAGTGCTAGCGGGGCTAATTGCACCTCGGACGCCGAATTCCCTTACTTACGCCGAAGCGGCTGCAGCATTAAATGACTACTACGATCACAAGCGTCACGAGATTGCAGAAAACCACAAGTTTTTCACCCGTTGCCAACAAGAAGGGGAGTCGGTGCACACATTCCTAGTCGAAATACGGCACATAGCAGACAATTGGAACTTCGGAAGTGCGCTGAACTGGATGTTGAGGGACAGGATTGTTTGCAGCGTACGCTCAACAAACTTGCGCAAGCAGTTACTGGCACATAAAGATTTAACCCTCGAGGAGGCTGAATCAATGTTTATTGCAGTCGAGGCAACCCACAGCGATGTAAAAGATATGAGTGCAGAGCCGCCGACTGTGCTAAAAATGCAAGCCCATCATCGCTCGCCCTCTAGAGGTAATCATACACTAGGCGCGTCGCATGACTGCGGCCGATGTGGAAGCACGAAGCACGACGATAACGCCTGCCGCTGGGTTAACGCATGCTGCTATCACTGTGGGCAGCACGGTCATTTGGCAAAGAAATGCTACAGTGCTCCAACTGATGCAAAGGTAAGAAGGCGGGCAGCGAGTGTAAAGGCACTGACAGTTGAAAGCGCGTCTAGCAACGACGACCTGGATAGCGCACACGTTTGGACGTTGATTTCGGGAAGAAAAAACGGTTTGGAACCACCCATACGCCGCACCTTTCGATGGGGCAATGTAGACCTTGGCTTGGAAGTGGATACGGGCTCCCCGGTGTGCGTCGTATCGCGCCAAGTGTACGATCGACACCACGCACAGTGGCCGCGCTTACAACCACCACAAATCAAGCTGTCATGTTACGCGGGACAGCTTCCGGTGTTGGGGGAACTCGAACTCCCAGTGAAGTATAAAAGTGTATCCTGTGCCTTGCCCGCTCATCGTGCTTGACTGTGCAGGACCCAGCCTATGTGGCCGTGACCTCATTGCTTTGCTAAGCAAGACGGGCGTTTCTATTGGAGACCTGACTGCGCCGGACCCTACAGCAAGCGCCGAGCCAAGCAACCCTATGCTGAACCGACTGCTCGGCAAGTTCGAGGATGTTTTCTCAACAGACCTTGGACTAATCAAGGGTCCACCAGCCAGCCTAAAACTCAAGGAGACAACGATACCGAAGTTCTGTAAGCCCAGATCTCTTCTTTACACCCTCTGCAATAAGATCTCTCGTGAAATTGATCGGCTGGTGTCACTTGGTGTTCTATCGCCCGTGCAACATGCAGAATGAGCTACACCTATTGTGGTCGTTTTGAAAAAGGACGGGAGCGTGAGGATATGCAATGACTTTAAGGCTACCCTTAACCCAGCATGTGAGGTGGAGCATTACCCTCTTCCGGTGATAGAGGACATGTTCGCAAGCTTAAACGGAGGCGAATATTTCAGCATCTAGGATTTAAAAGATGCATACAATCAAGTGCCTCTTGACGAAGCGTCCAGCGGGCTGTGCGTCATTAACACGCACCGAGGGCTTTTTCCGGCATAACAGACTTCCGTTTGGAATAGCTTCCGCACCGGCCATTTTTCAAAGAAAGATGGATGCAGTACTCGGCGGGCTGCCGGGTGTTCAAGCCTACCTTGACGACGTGCTAGTGTCAGAAGGCAAGAGTGATAACGGAGAGCAGCTCAAGAGAGTGTTGGAGCGGTTCCAAGAGCATGGCGTTAAACTTGGGACTGACAAATGCAAGCTTCGGCAACCATCTGTGACTTACCTTGGCCATCGTATAGATCGGCATGGCCTCCACCCCATTGAAAAGAACGTAGACGCCGTCATGCAAGCCCCGCGCCCGCGTAACGTTAGCGAATTGTGCTCATTCCTTGGCATGCATTCCTTGTGCTCATTCCTTGGCTCACATTCTACGCACGTTTCCTGCCCAACATGTCGACTGTGCTCAGCCCCTTGTATCAGCTCATGGAAAAACGAGCCCGTTGGGAATGGCGGGAACCGCAGCAGTCAGCGTTCGAGAAAGCGAAAGAAATGTTGAAGAATGCGCAGCTTCTCGTTCATTTTGATCCCAACAGGGAACTGAAGCTAGAATGTGACGCTTCCCCGTATGGCGTGGGTGCTGTTCTGTTTCACTCGGCGGGAAATGAGCACAGACCAATCGGTTTTCGCTCTAGAACGTTAACAAAAGCGGAGCGAAACTACTCTCAGCTGGAGCGAGAAGTCTTGGCACTGATTTTTGGCGTTTCTCGTTTTCGTGACTACCTCCTAGGTCGGCAATTCACCCTGGTAACCGACCATCAACCACTGCTGGGACTGCTCAAGCCTGACTGCCAAACGCCGCCGATGGCCGCCGCGCGCATTCAACGGTGGGCACTGTTCCTAAGAGGCTACCAGTACAAGCTACAGTACGTTCCGGGGAAACAACTACTGACAGCAGATGCCCTCAGCAGACTACCAGCCCCGGCGGCAGCGGAACCAGTAGCCGAAGGGGAGCCTCCCGAGTACGTCCTGTGGTTGGAGGCCCTGGACCAAGGTATAGTGACGACGCACGAGTTGCAGGAGCTCACTGCCAAGGACTCGTTGTTAGCCCGTGTGGCGGAATACATCTTGCATGGCTGGCCTCGAACAACAAGTGGAATGGTGCCCGACTTGCTGCCCTTTTTTGATCGCAAAATGGAGCTGTCGATGGCTCACTGGCTAATCTATTGGGGCAATAGAGTCGTCATACCACGGAAGGCGCAGGAAAGGATGTTGCAGCTGCTACATGAAACACACCAAGGCTCCTCATCAATGAAGGCGGTGGCACGGTCACTGTTTTCGTGGCCAGGGATGGACAGGGAGATTCAGGAATTGTCGGCGCAGTGTGTAAGCTGTGTAGAAAACCTGCCCATGCCTGCAGCAGCACCACCGGTGAGTTGGCCGAAAACGTCCGAGAGGTGGTCCCGGATCCACATCAATTTTGCGGGCCCATTAGCCGGTAAGATGATACTTGTGGTGGTAGATGCTCACACGAAGTGGATTGAACCAATACCTATGATGCATGCGAACACAGCGGGTACTATTCGCTGCTTACGAAGTCTGTTTTGTCGGTTCGGAGTGCCACGCACAATCGTGTCCGATAATGGCACGCAATTTATGAGCCAGGAGTTCGCCACGTTTATAGCAAGAAACAATATTGTGCACTTGCGTACAGTGCCTTTCCATCCTCAGTCGAATGGAGCAGCGGAAAGAGCAGTGCGAACCCTTAAGGATGGCTTGCGGAAAATGCAAGATGGCCCACTAAAACATAACATCATGCGCCTGCTATTCCATTACAAGAGGACCCCGCAAAAAGAAGGAAAGTCATTCTCGGAGATGCTTCTCGGTTACCAGCTGCGATCCTGTCTTGACACCTGCCTGCCGCCCAGGGATGAGAACTGGTCGCCGGGTGCTGACGACTGGACCATCTCGCCAGGAAGCAGCGTCTACGTGCGCAACTACGGTGCCGGTAAAAGATGAACGCCTGGACGCGTAAAAGCTGCGTCGGGGGCGAGAACGATAGCAGTGGACACACCAAGAGGGTTAGTGCAGCGTCATATCAACCAAGTCCGCCGCCGCCGCGAATCGACGCCGGAGTCTGCAACTGCGGGGACGACTGAAGGCGCGGACGCTGAAGCTGAACCTGCCAGCGTGACTACTCCTGTCCCGTCTCCTGCGTTGCAACGCACGTCCAGGCGGAATGAGCAAGAGCAAAGCCCAGAGCTACCGGCCGCGGATGGTAGGAGTGAGTTTTCCCCACCAGCTGCTACGGAACCTCCAGTCGCTACGGACGAACCCTCGCCTGAGGTGGTCCCGCATCAGCCAACGCTGAGGCGATCGACAAGAGTTAGGAACCCAGTACAACGGTTCCACTTTTAAGAGGAAAGAAATGTTGTATTTGTTTCGTTTGTAACGCCAGCAAAACCAGCTGCGCGCGCACTATTTCGTTTGGGCCCTATGCGCCTTCATTCTCCCTTTTCCCCCCCTCCCTTCACCCTCTCCTAATGCCAATGTATATAACCACGCTGCGGACAATAAACGCTGTCGTTGACTGCCCGACCATCGTCCTTGCTGCTTAGCTGCGCGTGCCTGAGTTACGACTCTTGCGGAGTGGAAAGAGTTGTTTCGAGGAGTAGATCTTGCGATAAAACCGCTCTGTGTCTGCCAATGAAACATACAGGAGCACTCTCAATCTGCCAATGGAACAGACTCGCTCTGCACGGAGCAGAAAAGGTGCTACCGAAAGTGTTATGAATTTGCCAATTAATGACGCCATCGGTGATGCGTGACTGCAGCATGACTTCACACGCAGACAGCGACTTGTGACGTACTAGCAGAAGATTTGTCATCTACTCGTGGCATATGCCAAGAACGATAAGTGAATTGCCGTCCAGCGGCTGCCACAGTGATTTCTGCAGTTTAAGCTGCATGCAAGACTCGGAATTCGTGAACTCAGTGGAACTGTTTTGACTCGTTAGGACAATGCACATTGTGGTGGGGTTGACTTGCAGGTGCTCAGCAATGAAGACTTTAAAAACAAAGAAAAATATTTCAAGTGGGTTGGTTGACTCTGGTGTGTGGAGACCGTTAATGCTGCATACCAAGGAAGCATAAAATGTCCCTTTTGCGGTGCCTCGCAATCGTATCAGTACTCCTTTAAGAAACAACAAGATATCAAAGCGGGTCAGCAAAAAAATGCCTCTTAGCCGATATCAAGAAGAAAAAATGGGCTTGGGCAGGGCTTGTCAACAAAGGGAAGATAACAGCTGGTCATTAAAAGTAACAGACTGGATTTCAAGAGAATACAGAAACTCAGGTAGGCAGAAGAGATTAAAAATTTGCAGCAATAACATGGCTGCAGTAAGCACAGGACTGGGTTAATTGGCAAAACAGGGAAAAGAGCTTTGCCCTGCAATCGGCATAGTCATGGGATGATGATAACATCCAGTAGACGTGCAGCTTATTCCCTCATACGACAACACATAAACAGTGAAAGCCAATGCTGCACGTACTAATTAAGGAGATTCAGCAGGCAAGCCGAGTGCTGCAAAGTTTCTCACCTGATGATCGACGACAAAGCTAGTGCCGCAGCAGAAGCCCCCGTACGAGCCCACAGCATGCTCAAGGGTTGCGCACATCAGGTCAATCTCGTTGCTCTGTAACCATTTAAAGATAACGACATGCAAACATACACCAAAGACAGTACTGCCACAACCACAAAATTACACATCATTAAATTTGCGCCTTAGAATTTCGGCAAATTTTGCCACACGCCGCTGGTCCACTAAAATAAAAGAAGGCGACATATAGGTAATAAAAAAGTAAGATTTCTATCCTGATGTAACGAGTGATTGAGCAAAGCTAAGTAAATGAAGCAAGCACCAATTAAGATTTATGGACAGATCTAAGATTTCCAGACAGATGTAACCAATAATTGAGCACAGTTTTAATAAACCATTATAACTAGCCCTGTGATAAACATTGTGGCCGTACGTTTTAGCTTACATGGTACATAGAATCAAAGAACATTAGGGGAAAGAAAAGGCAACGGCGGCTCCAACAAGACCCCAAAGCGATGAAAGCCCTTTGAGAATTACGACATGCCCTTAGATGCATGGGACGTGTGAAGGCTTGGTTAGAGCACGAGTTTCTGTTTCTGGAGTTCAAACATTTGTGCCGTGTCTAAGCGTATACTGTTTAACTTTTAAAAAGGCTTACATGGCACGAGTATACGTTTTCAAGGCCATCTGGCATATCACCAAAATGCAACATTATACGGTTGAGTGAGATCAACAGCTACCAAGGGTATTTCCATAAGAGAGACAGATATGACGACTCAAGTAAGGCAACCAAGAAAACAAGAAAAGAAGCGAAAGGCTCATTTGTGTGACAACTATAACAAACATAGCTGATAATTAAATTACTCAGTATATCTACTTTTTGAACAAATGATGTAATAAACTTGTTTTTCCTCTTTAAATCTCGATGCTCCGAGGGCAACTTTTTTCTTACATTTGCCCAATTATAAAAACAACTTCACAAAATAGAAACCCGATTTTTTTTTACCAGGATAAGTGAAACGTCGATACAAAGTAGCTGAACTAGAATGGCGCATGTATGCGGAATAGTGGTCATCTTTCGAGCAGTTTCTTTTATACAACACAACAATGACAAAAATTGCTTGCATTACTAAAAAATGCAAAAATGTCGATAATTAAAATATATTTGTAGTTCTAGTTCCATTAAAAGAAGAGATGCCGACGAATAATTGATTGATTGATATGTGGGGTTTAACGTCCCAAAACCACTATATGATTATGAGAGACGCCGTAGTGGAGGGCTCCGGAAATTTCCGACAACCTGGGGTTCTTTAACGTGCACCCAAATCTGAGCACACGGGCCTACAACATTTCCACCTCCAAGATTCCGACGAATAAGATGAATCAAATCTGAAAGCTATACATCTAGCAGTTTCAGAAAAAACGGGCCTTAAAGAAGCCGTAAATACGAAGCTTGTGTGAATATCCAAATAGATAGTACAGTATTTGAATTTGCTTCGAATTTATATAACTGAAAATTTCTATGTATTAGAAATAAATTAATAGATGTACATTAATCCGCATGTAACCACCGTAAAAGTTGTTTCACTGCACTGCACCAATGCTAAACCACGAAAGCACCTATCCAAGAGAAATCCACATTGATGTGAAGTCCCACTTCAAGGTTAAATGAACATATTATCCTCACATTGATTGATTATGCCTGTTTCACCGGTTTAAAATCTTTTTTTACCAACTTACATGCTCCAAGTATAATAAATTTTACAGCATAACATATTTCACGGGTTATCAGTAACATTATACCAAAAGCCAAATCCTGTAACTATTAAAAGTTGTTTCCACTTGCTTTAAGCCAAAAAGAATGGCAATACTACAGACCTGGTTATTTGATTTTTAAAAATATACTTTGCAGGTTAGTAGGGTAATGACAAATATTTCGATTTTTCCTACAAGGAAGCGGCCCGCGGTGCTGCCCTAAAAGGTGGCACTTCTCTGAATCCGTAAATAGTTGCTCGTACTTTATAAGTGATATACAGTTAAACCTAAATATAACAAAATTGACAAATTCCTGGAAAACTTCGTCATAAAGAAAATTTTGTTATATGCAGGTTTCGTACGAAAACTCTAAAAATAAACGCACAAGTAAACAAAACGGGAACTGAAGGCAAAGCTAACCCGCAACAGTTATTTATCAGTAAAAGACAGCGTTATTATTATGATAGCAACTATATGGACACTCTCGATGGGTTTCTGCCGTTGCCGCCAGGTTCTGTAACGAGTCCAGATGGTGAACATGCCCCTGGGCATAATAACTTTTATGAGCGGGTAAAAGCACGTGCTAAAGCAGAGATCGAATGAGCCAGCTCATTTATATCGTCAGGAAGGTGCATATGATAACATCCCCCCCACATTTTGAAACTGCCGTCGATTGCACAAACAGAAAAGAAGCCATCCGTCTTGAAGAAGCGTGAAAAAACGTGCGGGGAGGTGGGGAGAGGGGAGGTCACTTGAGTAGCAATGGTGAACTTTGATTTTTCTAACAAGCATGAAAAAACGCTGGCACGTGTGCTATCTCGGCAAGCATCAGTGCGCTTTCAACACGAAGAGAATGTGAAAAAAGCACTTCTCACAGGAGCAGCCACATTTGCTTACACCAGCGTTATGAAGGACTTCCAAGAGTTGGCTGCCAGCCTTACTTCATAAGATTACAAATTGTTGCTATTACATTCATTGCATTGCATTCAATGCACTGTCGTGTTGTTGCCAGAGCTAATCAGCTAATCTCGAAGACCGCAGTTCTCGCGGCGCAGCACAAAACGGAATTAAGCGCGTTTCCATCAGTGCCTCATCTGACATCCGCTCGGTAGTGACAACACGGTTGTCCGCATTAAAAAAATCACATTGTATTCACGAAGTAAATGATAATGAGTGGGGCAAAACGTCCATCTGTTTGTCTGTTTGTTGGTCTAGCGACGAGCACAAGTCGCTGCGACTCGTGAAATACTGCGGGTTACGCCCAAAGCAGGACAAAAACTAAAAGGAGCTTCACTCCTAAATAAAAAGGTGAAACTGAACGTCATTGGGAACCGCTCCATGCACGCGCAGTGAAACCATTCACGCGCGCACCGCGTCAAAGACAAAGAGCGAAAGACACCGACACCATGGAAAACTATTCAGTAAAGCGCCCTCCATATACAATGCGACCCCACATTTGTGACGCCAACTAAAAGCATGGCACCGTGGCCTCTGAGATGAGCCAGCGGTGCACCGTTCCTCCGGCCGTCCCATTCACACGCAGAGTGCGTAATCGGAGAAAGCTAGATAACTACTGCCGCTATACCGCGGCTCTCTTCTGCCGATGTGGACACGCGTGGAGGGCGAATGCTCAGCAGTCGCAGCCTCTGTGCGTAATATAAAACTGCGGCACACATGGGCCAACTAAAGGCAAAACGTTACTTACTGGTGCAATTGAGCCATTGCCTCTGATTCTGACGCGTGCTTAGGCCTGCGGGGACAGGCACATCGCCAAAAGACCGTTTGCTGATGCCATATGTTATGTTTCGCTAAACGCTGGTAATTTTCCCTTGGGGATGATTCGTAGAAAAAAGCACACAAGCCACAAGCCATCCAGACTTCATGTCTATTCTGTCTGGGTTTCTCACTCTACAAATTGCACTTGATGCCCGATTCGCTACAATCCTTATTTTATTTAACTGGGTAGTGGTGCATTGTTAAAAAAAAAGGGGAACGTGATTTTTGTTAGCAGGTTCGCACTGTGGCTTATTTTCATTCTGCAATAGACCTCTCCTTGTGTGCAAACAGTGTGACGTCACTACGAGCACACCGCCCACCCTTCTTGCCAACCAGTTTGTGCTCCTTTGGAGCACAAACTGGTTGGCAAGAAGTTCCGCCAGCACGATATTTTTGCATAGCAGAGCTGCGTGTGTAGACATTACTTTGACACAAACTTCTGTGAATTGCTATTTCCTAAAGTCGCAGCTTTAAAAGGTTACGGTCACCACCTATAATGCATGATTCTGTTTGGTTAACATGTGGCGATTTGCTCGTCGTACACAGCATCCACGAAAAATCCAGATTGTTCATTTTATGAAGGAATTTCCGTGACTGAGCTTGACAGTGCTTTTTGCTATTAAGTGTGTGTGTTATTGGTAAATGCTTCCACGGCGATTTGATCCAGCATTTGTGTGAGTATGACCGTCTCGTCACCACAATACTGATGGGTGAGAGGGTACCCAGCCTCTGCAGCAGTTCTTTTCTCTGGTGTGTGGTGGTCAGCTGGTCTCCCTGCGTGATTAGCGTGACGGCTGCCAGTTATTCATACGTATTACGCATGCCAACTGCCATGAGTATTTCTGCGCTCCTACTGTTCAGAGGTAGCGGCGCATTTTTACACGAAATTCTCACGAGCTTGTCAATCTGACCTATTTCAGTCTTGCGGGTTGCTTGAAAGGGAAGAGCGAAGGTGACTCAGTTGAAAACGAAGGCATGTACAAGGCGTAACGTGTCAACCTCTGGCATCTCGTCATTACTTCTCGCAATTCCACTTATGAGTGTAGTAATGTTCCCGACGCTGTGTTTGCCTTTTGCAGTCTTCACGCTGTTGCTTTCAATGTACGTGCATGCCCAGTAAACTGGCTACTGGGATCCTGATTACCACGCACTCAGTCCAACTGTGCGCGGGTACCCGGTTGAACTGAGTGCATGGTAATCTTATTTGCAGCCATTCCAATTTGTAGGGCATGCAAGTCGCCACTGCAACCCTGACATAGCTTTGAATTTTGTTTGTTGCTGTTTGCAGCGTATCTTGCCAGACTACACAAGAGCCATTCGCCCTAGCACAATGTCGTCCATGTAAACGGCACAGCCCAGGTTTGGCATGGCCTCCAGTTGTTGGATTAGTTTCTGTAGGCGGATATTGAATAAACATAGAAGGCAGCATCGAGCACTGCCTTTCAGTGGGAGGTCGTGGGGTGGTTGGTCACTGAGAACCGACCATGCCAATCTACGCACTTACGAATTCCAAGGAAATCAGGTGCATAATTGAATATGCGCTCTTTCCGCCCTACGACTGTAAGACCGCCTCGTATTGCAGAGTGCGAGATGTTGTCGAACGCTCTTTCGATGTCCAGCACAACAAGTACGTAGTTAAAACTACCTGGTGCAGGTTTAAGTACTTCCTCTTCGAGCAAAAAAGCTCCTCGCCTAAATCCACAGGAAGACGGAAAACCTTAGGTATCTGCAGCTGCGACAAGCAGCACCGCTCGCTGAGCTCTGTCGTTTGGTTTCTAAATTATACAGTGAAAGCTCGTTAATTCACACCTCATTAATTCAAAATCTCGGATAATTCAAAATGGTCGCCGCAGTCCGGTCCGCAGTGCATAGGGACCATGTGTAAAACGATTCGTTAATTCGAACAGAAATTGCTGCCTCTATGGATAATTCGAAGCGCGCGCCGCCGAGCGTCATCATCGTCAAACACTAGTGGAAGCTTTTACGGTTGAATGATAGGTGGCACGACCAGTTTTTTCGAGCTTCAAGTGGCCTCCGAGCAAAGGGCGAGCAAAGTATGGCCTCCAAAATCCAGGGAGCAATTTTTTTTTTTCCGTAGCCCTCCCGCTATCTCAGCGCCTGGCGCCACTTGTACGCGGGACCCACGGGACGCTGAGGAGTCGGCGGAGTAGTCCTAGCAGTCCTAGGCCGCTCCCGGCAGCGTCACTTTGTTCCTCGAGCACGTTGTTCGTTCACGCCGTCAAACCGTCTTATTCCGCTTCGAAGTTGCAAGATGCCGCGGGAAACTACTGCGCGAGGACTGTCAAGGAGAAGGTGGAGATTTTGCGAGATGTTGACCAAGGAAACTCGAGCAAATACGAAATTGCGAGGAAGCACGGCACACCTCCGAGCACGTTGTCAACCTACATACACAACAGGACGGCCATTGAAAACGCCTATGAAGCCGAGGATTTTGGCGCCAGTCGAAAAAGGCTAAGGACAGCGAAGTTGCCGGAACTGGAGTCAGCTTTGATTATCTGGGTTAAAGAAATGAGAGCCCAGAGTATCGCATTGAGCGGCCCTATCATCATGGCCAAGGCAGCCGATTTCGCCCTGCGCTTGGACAATGAAGACTTTGTCGCCTCCGAGGGATGGTTTCATCGTTTCAGGGAGCGGCACAATTTCGTATTCCGCACGTTATCCGGCGAGGCAAAGGAAGTGGACGCCGATACATGCGCTACTTGGAGAAGCGACACCCTGCAGCAGTACTTGGAGAGCTACTCACCACAGGATGTGTTTAACGCTGACGAGACAGCGTTATTTTTCAAGTTGGAGCCAGACAAGACGATCACCTACAAGGGAGACAGCTGTGCCGGCGGCAAGCGCAGCAAAGAGCGTGTCACTGTTTTGGTCGCCGCAAATATGACATGTACGGAAAAGGTCCCCCTTTTTGTGATTGGCAAAGCACTCAAGCCACGGTGCTTCAAAAACATTTGCTCACTGCCGACGGAGTACGCCGCAAACAAGAAAGCCTGGATGACAGGTGACCTATTCAGAAAGTGGCTACTGAAATTCGACAGGCGAATGGAACTGGGCGGCAGACGCGTTCTTCTTGTCGACAACTGTTCGGCGCACAAAGTCGACGTTGAGCTGAGAGCAACTAAGTTGGTGTCCCTTCCGGCAAATATGACTGCGGCCCTACAGCCAATGGACCAGGGTGTGATAAGGAACATTAAGTGCTTTTATAGGCGTCACGTGCTGGAGAGAATGATTTTGTGCGCGGGCGACAGGAAGGACTTCGGCATTACGCTGCTCACTGCCATGCACATGTTGGTGCGCGCATGGGAACAGGTGACCGGGACCAGAATCGCAAACTGTTTCCGCCACAGTGGATTTGCAGCTGGAAGTGCGCAGGATAGTTGTGACGTCGACGTGGATGGGGCTGAGGAGCTCATGCCGGTCGCATTGCGCGACACTCTTCGGGGCGTACGTTTTGCCGATTATGTTTGCCGATTATGTTGACACTGGTGCATCGGTGTGTGGTGCCCTGACTGATGAGGACATTATCGCTCAAGTAGCCGGTGCGCAGCCTGATGCTGAAGAGCCAGAAGGTGAGGAAGACGAAAATGACGAAGCGCCTGTGCGCCCGTCAGCTTCTGCGGTGATGGAGGCACTTAATGTGGCGCGTCTTTTCTTCAGCTTTGAAGAGGGTGAAGAGGATTCCCTGCGCCGCGTCTGCGCGCTGGAACAGAGAGCCGCAGCTGTGGCATTCAGAGAAAAGAAGCAGATGGTCATCACCGACTTTTTTGGCCAATAAATATTTTTCGCGACTCCACCCCCGAAATCCACCCATTTTTTGCTCACTTTCATTATTTCGAATTTTGTTTAATTCGAAATTGCTCAGCGTTCCCGTGGAATTCGAATTAACGAGCTTTTACTGTAATGCAAACTCTGGGATCTGGCGACACCGGCTCTGGCATTGTCTCCTTCTCTAGACCAACAAAAGGCTAAAATTGGAAGTAAATATCTCGCAAACAACTGTACAGGAGGTGTCAGCACCCTCCACACGTTGGATACAAAAGCCCTGGTGGAACTAACATCCATGAGCATGGATGAAGCGTATGGTTGTGCTCCAGTTGGTGAATGGACTCTCCTACGCTCTGAAAGTTTACATGTTGAGAGGTTGCGACCAAGATGAGTTTTCGTAACCACTGAACTTCCTGGACAAGTGACATGTACGCTGTGCTAATGTTTGCCCAATCCACTAAATTAGATAATACAGGTGCTACTAATTCAAGCCATCTTTTGGGTGCCGGGTTACAGCAAACCACTTTTCACCTTGTAGGAACTTAATGCTTTTAAACTAGGCACTATTACAAGGCTAACAGCCCGAGGAAACCTAATCTCATCAAAAATGCAAAGCCTCAGAAGTGCCACACTTAAAACGCAAGTGTAATACTAGTTCCATCACAGCAGATGGAGATGAATAATATGGAACAAACTACAACATATCATGTTTCCAGAGAAAATGGGCCTCAAAGTAGCTTTAATATACATGGGAGGTATAAGGCCTACCCAGTGCCTCTAAAGGTGTGCAGACACAAGATTTTTGTAGTTGTACACTCAAACCTCTATATAACGAACCTGGATATAATGAATAATCAATTATAACACAGTAAATGAGAAATAGTTGTCATAGGTACAGTCTCTGTCCTTTGACACAGTCCCGAGAATGCTTGTCAGTTGAGCACAAACAAGAGCAAAGCACTACTGCATTGTTGCCTACTCACAGGAATGTCAAAGTGCTCGCGCAGGCCACGCCCCGTACGACCTAGCACAGCAAACGAGCAAGTCTCATCGAGGAAAAGCCGCAGCTCAAAGCGCCTCCGCAGCTTGACCAGCTCCGGCAGAGGGCAGATGTCGCCTGTGCTGGCATAGATGCCCTCGACAACGATGAATCGACGTGTGACACTCGCCCTAACACAGAAGAAAAATGAGCACGTCTCAGAGACTGATGCAAAAAGTGTCTTCATTGACAGCAAAGACAAACATTGAACACCATACTGATCACATTCTATGTAGTTGTGTAGTGAATACACTCTTCTAACCTGCATTTCTGCTTCTTTTTCTTTGCGTGATGATAGCAGCTACCGTTATTGTCGTCGACGATAAAATTTTGCGCGGTGAGAAAATAAACAAGGTCCTTTCCATAACTTGACCCGTATTTGAACTCATTCATATTTTGTCGGGCACAATTTATTGTGAAAGCTGATTTCTATAGATGCTGATGCTGCTGCTGTTAACCAAGGCAACAGAGGGAACAAAAGATTACTCAAGATATTGAAAGATCACCCTGCATAATGATTGCACTAAAATGCATTCTTGGACTACTTGTTGCATGGTCAGACAAAAACTTTTTTAGGGGGAAGGCCTATAGTTACCCAAAATTTCCATTAAATCAGTCACTAGTTGGCACCAGTTTTCTCTTCTCTTGTCCTCATTTTTTACTAAACATGTTAATTGTGCTGCAATGCTCAAAACATAAAGACAAAAAAAAGAGAGACAGATGAACGCCCAATAACATGTTCAGTAAACCTACGGGCTAACTCACCCAGGATAAAAGTTCTTATCCTCGTTTAATTTGTGCCTCTTCTCCAAATTTTTGTAAGATAATAGATGTGCCCACTCCGTCAGCTATAACTTTCAAGGTATATATTTACGAGAGCGGGTAGGATATTTGTGCAGCTTGTGGGAATTCATGTCAACGCAGGTAGTGCAAAGGCAGGTAGCACAACATGAGCGAGGAATGAGTACGTGAGACGAACACTAACTTCAAACTAACTGACTTAGTTAATTTGAAGTTAGCACTCATCTTGTGCACTTGTTCCTCGCTCGTGTCGCTGCTCCTTGGCACTACCTGCTTTAACAATATGTATACTTTTGCAATATATGTGCGTTCAGTATGCGAGCAAACCGAGTAACGTGAATTCGAAACAAAAAAGCTGTTCTAACGTGTTTGTAATTATTGCTGTTTCCCGCTTGTTTATGTCATGACCAGAAATCGAGATCATCAGCTGACTAGATCGCCAACAGAGCAAAGCATTTCGACACCCTCCAGCGAAGGAAGCGAAACTGACTCTCGGGATAGGGCGGGCAAGAACCACCTCGCAGCAGGCATGCCAATCTTCACTCACTTCTTGGGGTCGGCCATGTCCCGCTCCTGCTGCTCTAGAAGGAGACGCTCCAGGTCGCCCATGTCGTTGTGTTGGAAGTAGTAGATCTTGCTGCGTGACGCCAGCAGGCCCATCTGGATGGCATAGTTCACCTCCTCGTCCCTGCAACAGGTGCATTCATGCATCCACAGAGCTTCGAACTAGGAATGGGCGAATATTTGGGCACTTCAAATATTTGAACAAACAATACAGTAATTGGCTTCTATGCAAATTTAGATTATTCGAAATGAATGAATATAAATACTTTTGAATAAATGAGCCCTAGTGAAGGTGGCTTCACTGCCGTGTAGGGATGCTATGCCATGAAACCACATTAAAAAAAAAACAAAACAATTTCTCACTACAGCAAAATTACACTTTAATGTTAATAAATGTACGGGGGGAGAAGGAAGGTGTCAAAAGTTCTCAGGCCACTATCCCGTGTGTATAGCATGGGTCACTATCCCATGCTATACCAGGGGTGAGACGGCTGAAACTAAATTGGGAGCAGTTTTTGGAGCAGCAAAATTTTAATTTTGGAGCAGAATAACCTTGCTTCGGAGCAGTTAGCGGCATTTATTATGTTGTCTTGGGAGCTTAAAAATAGCAATATTTAGCAACATGGGGGCACCACTGCATATTTTAATGGGCTTATAATACACATAACAATGAAACAGATTTTGAAGGAATTTTTTCCAAGAGGATATCACCAGATATGAACTGCACTACCTTTTTACATACCACATGACCTATCTGGCCTTCACAACATGTTAAATAATGTTTAAAGAAGGTTTCGTTGAAAGCTATGTTCCCCGGAAACATAAAGAAAAAAATGCATCACACTCAAAAACAAATTTAACAATTGTTATTGCACAAGAATCTTGGTTACATAACAGTGGTCCTTGGCTGAAAGAAAAGCCTTTCAACAGGCAACAAAAGCACGCTGCACTGCCATTCCGGCCACCTCGTGCGGGACCATTCCAAGAGTGCAGTGCGAGAGCCGAGAAACCTCGCCGTATCGACCATCTCGTAAAGTACGTGCGTATGACACTAATGATAAGAAAATGATACTAATAACCCCTCTACACGCAAGCAACCGTGCATTATTAATACGGCACAAGTTGGCCAGTTCTATATATATAATATCTATTGGTCATCACCGTCGATGTAGAACTCCCGACAATACATCAACTTGCGATTGCCACTCGCGCCAAGCGCTTGCGCAGTGCAGGTAAGAAAATCTGTGTCCACGCAAACAAGCCGCCAAACGTGGAGAGCCAAGTTTTATTGCAAAAAAAAGAAGAAAAGAAAGAAAACGAAGTCACACTGCAGCTGACTGAAACACCGATCGAGATAAGCCTAAAGCTCATGCAGCCCAGGGCCGGCACGCATGCAGCAATGCCTCTTAAAGCGCTCGTTGCAAGTTCCGATTACAAAACAGAGCAGCGGTAAATCCCCACTCAAGAAAACTGTGCCAAGTGATCGCCGACATGCCATGAGTCACGAATACAGTGCTGAGGTGCCCGTTAATATCATTTACAGTGATTTGAATGCACGTTCTGTCAGCACAGCCTCGCATGTAACCAAGTGTGTCTCTCTACCTGCAGATACCCATGTACAAATTTTGCGTGCGATGGCTTGTTTAAATGCAAGGTGCTATGAAAACTCATTTGTGTCTAAATAAAATAGGAGCTAATGGGCATGAACAGGGAATAGGTGGCACACCTTCTGCTGCTTAAAAATACTGTTATTTAGAACCCCTGTGCACGCACCAGAGCATCCAAGAGACGCATCGGATGCAGAGAAATGACTCGGCGTTCACAGTTACTCACTATCGGAAAACGCGTACTCGAAGGTGACCACACGCAGCAGCGTCGACATGAAAACCGCAGCGACAGGATGAACGCGCTACGCACAACAAAAAACCAGAGGGTCAAACCCGCTACGCCTGCCACTCATCTCGGTGGTTTTCGCTAGCCGACAGTGGCACCTGAACACACAGCTTAGCCAGTAGAAGCAGCACGCTCGATGCACGGCACCGAATATTTGTGGGGTCACGCATATTTGCAAAAGTCTAGAGGATATTTTGGCAGCCCCATGAGACAAAAAAGGTGCAAAGCGAAAAAAAAAAAAAAAACAGACACACACACAACCAGGTGCGTCTTATTTGTCAAACTCGGCCTTTTTTTTCCCACTGAAACTGAGGTTGGCATAAAATTTTAGCTTTCGAGGCTGTTTTGGAGCGGTTCGCCCCAATTTTCTCGATTTTTATGCTTTTTGAGCAGCTTGGCTCAAGAAAACAGAAATGTATCAAAAATTCGCAATATGCGCAGCTGCCTCACCTCTGCTATACACATCTTGCTACTATTCAAAGTGTAATCCAAAGAAGTGACATTCATACGTGCCTAGTTTCAATACTAAAAATATTGTGCAAGTTAGTTGGGTCATGATAGAAATGTTAATTTTTCTTAATAATATGCGGTATATATTACTGAAACTATTCCATACATAATTATCCAACAAAGTCACTATTTATTTAGAACGTCAAACTTGCTATTTTCGCCCATCCTTCTGAAAATGTGGGCTTTGTTTACGTTTGTAGCCTGTTACATCTTCATCTACATTTGCCTCCATACTCGTTATTATACAGGTTGTTTCGAGAAGTGTCCATTCGATGCCTTCACGATTACTTCTGTTGATCTTAAGATGGCTAAAGAGATCACTTCGGACATTAATTAAGGAAGTTATTTACCTCTTCAATTAGGATATTTAGCCAGCGATGCCAAATTGGAAAGTTGAAGTCCATCATGCGCAGAGCCCATTGCAGCTTCGAGATTTCAAAAAAAAAAAAAGTGGCTCTGGTAATAACAGCAAAACAAACAAATTCACGCCAATTCAGTGGTGAACTCAAGACTGCAACGTGGAAAACCAGACTACCATATTCTTCTGAGATGCCCAGAATGAGTGAGTGTCGTGATATCAAACATCCACAGACTTCACTGGGTGGGTGAATGGGCTGCACCTGCAATTACAGCCCGCATGATGCACATATGTTAACAAATGCAGGAGGACTGCAACACCTCTGTAACCGCTGTCTCGAACAGTGACGTCATTTTGGTCGTCCGCTTGTTGCGCTCATCGGAAGTTCAGTTTCAGCCTGGCCACCGAGCTTGGTTGAATTTCATTGCACCACAATAATTACTAGAAGCCACTTTTTAAGTAATGGGTTTTTCGCATGACGAACTTCAATTCTACCATTTGATATAACCACTTGACTCCCCTGAATAAGAAGTTAATTTCTCCTTTTGAATTACTGTCTCAAATTATTACATAATCTTAAGATGCCTGCTGCTACAGAAGCAATTCTGAAGGCAACGAGCAAAGACAGCATTTTCCTTAGTTTTGAGAATTTTGCACTCATCTTTAGCAACACCAGCTATATCTAAATTAGCAAAAATAAGCATCCAGTTCTGGCCCAACAAAACGATGGTGACTGAGCACAGACTTTCCTGCACCAACCTGTACCGACACAGCACAGTCACCTTAATGCTCCTGGGTTCACATCAAGCACTGACAGTTCACATGTAACAAAGAGGCAGGCATAATGCTTCTACAAAATGAGACTCACGCAAATATGACGTCCCCCTGCTTTGCGTACGATGGGATGGCACTCGAGATGGTCGAAAAACCGTACGAGTAGAGGCACGCTTCCTCGACGCCCATGAACTCGGCCAAGCGGCTCTCCAGCTCCAGGTGAATGTCTGCACAGCACAGAGAAGGCCTTAGCTGTGCAGGGCCCTCGATGATCGAAGGCCCAGTCGTTTCAACTGCCCTTAGTAAACAAGTTGGCGATGGCAATGAACTTCGGCATTCATTACACGAGTTCGATGAGGCGGTATTGACACTGCGGCATTCATCAAGAAAAAAAAAAAAGAGAAGCCGTCGTGCAAGTCTGTTTCACGAATTCCCTGCACCTGTGCCTGCTAGAGTGCCGAGTCCGTGCAGCCCATAAACCGCATTAGACGACGCAGACGAAGCATTCGTGGCTATCTCTACGGTGCTTAACCGATACATCAGTGAACAGTTTCCGGCTGCTGCAAACTCCATGCAACGTCAGCTGCGCCGATTTTCAAGAATCGGAACTTTCACGTCCTGCGAGATAAGCACCTGCTGCATGACATCTGCACTTCTGTATTCGTTTCGGAACCTCGCCGCTGCTGCACTTGCTGAAACATTCCCTGCGTGACTATGGCACCCAGACCGCGCCACCACAAACCAGTTCAGGTAGTGCAGGATGAATCAAACGGACCTATAGCAGAGTGCACACTCACCCAATTACAATGAGCCCCTAATTTTAAATCAGGCGCTAAAAAGAACAAGATGTTTCGATGTACTACACTTGAACCCCACAACAGCAGAAAATTGAGACGACTTTATTGCCACAACTAAACACTCACTAATTTCTGGTTAACACGCACAGCACAAAATGAGTTCTGGATCTCTCAACCTAGAAATGTTGTGACACAACTTTGCATCAACCAAACTTCCTTGACAGTTAGACCCCGTATTATCTAAACGTTGCAGCAATTGAAAAAATAAGCCTCGAAGGACAATGGAGCTGCACCTTCAAGAGTAGATTGCAATAGCGTACTGGGGCCCTGTGCGCGTCACCATACCCACTGGCAGCTGAGCTTCAGCTCTCGGGGCACGCTTTAAGTGTGCCGTAGTGAAACGTACGACTGAACACGTAAAATTAGCCATTTTAAACTATCCTACAACACCTACTGAAAGTACAGTAGTTAAGAACCCACTACGTCACACTTATTTCTTTTGCGAATCATTTAAGGGCCCCCTACCCGTTTGTGAAGAAACACGCGAGCCTTCCCAGGTGCTCACCTTGTTGACGCTTTTGCGGCTGATGATGATTAAATATGCCTTGAGTGCTCTGTAGTGGGTGGGCTTCTAAAACACCCACTTGTGAAATTCAGATGCCCTGACGCCTGGCACGATTTTGAGCTTCTGCCATGCCATATTACATGTGTTACAGAGACACCATCCACTACGTGACATTCATATAGTGTTTTTTTCTTTTTCCTAAAGCAGTTCCAAGCAATATGGTGACTCTGTGGTAGATCACCTGCTTGCCACATGCACAGCCCGCATTCTATTCTCACTAAAACCAAACATCTGGTTACTTACTTTATATGCATCTTTCTCGATTTTCCAGTCGTTGACAAGATAAAAGTTTCTGCGAAATGAGTTCTTTAATGCTATTGAGTTAAATGTGCTCAAATGAACTTTCTGCCCACTCGAACAGCACAATGTAACGCCATAGCACAGTCGAACAGAATCAAATTGCAGGATACAAACAATGCAAGCAAGTGCAGGTGCCAACGAACCGTGTTGCAAGCCACTGCCAACAGCATTACAGGAGTCGCGTGACCGGAACTAGGCAAGACCTTAGTCGTGACGTGAGGTCAAAAGTGATAGCAACTAGGAGGACTACAAGGTGGAGCAAGGTGGTCTCAATGACTTGAATGAATGTGTTCCGAGCACGCATTTTGACCAGCAACACAGCGACATGCATACCCAGAACACTGTGTAGGGCTCGAAAACTACAAGCTGAATATGCTGTACGTTATACTTACATGCTATAAGTTATATTTTCCTAGTTGCCAATACCCTATGAAATCGTGAATCGCAACCCTGGCTCGCAAGCACATGCTCTTGGAAACGTTACTGTGTGCTGAAGCACCTCCCACTCACCAACAGTGCCAAAGAAGCCCCGGGGCCCGCACGAACCAACACCGTAGCGCCGTAGGCCACCGATGGCAGCCTCCTGGGTGCCCTCTAGCTCAGTCAGGCCCAGGTAGTTGTGACTGGCCAGGTTCAGGCACGACCGACCATCCACCACCACAGTCCGGCCAACTTTGCTGCAGCACGTTTGGTCGCACTAACATCAGTACCCATAAGATTGTCCAAACTACGCACCCGCTTGGCAAACAGTAAAACTGCCCACCACTGAACACTGAGTCTTATAGAAGTCTTGCGAAAGCTAAAACACAATCATGGATCGGGACATGTCACTGGTGAAATTCACTTAAGAGGTTTTGTAACTTGGGCTGTACTGTGCAAATTTTCCTTTGGGCTAGCAAGAAATATCAGTGGACCAATCACAAACATTGTCTTGAAAGAGAGCATTTCACGATAAAATTCTAATAATTAATAACTGTGGGAGTGCTATCACCCCCTAAAAAGCTATTTGGGCCTCATGGAGCACACGTGTGTAAGAGATAGGTCGCATTTAGGTTCAAAGGCCCCCGAGTGGTAGGTGGTGCGGCGCTTACGCGGGTTCCTCATCATCACCAAGATTAGCGCGGTAACGCCAGCCGAGCTGCCCGGTGGCAAGGCTAGGTAGCCACACAGAAAGCATGGGCGGGTCTCTTTTGCGTTGGGGCAGCGATTGGCATGGTTGGCTCCTGTTTCACACTTCACACTCAGAGCCCAAAGGAAATTTCCTCTCTATCTGTGGATCCCCTCGTGGAGAGTCGAACATTGGCAACACCACCTTCGCGTTACCTTGTATTTTCTGGTATGTTGACTGAGTGTATTGGAGCATTCTATAAAGTTGTTTAGCACGTCACTAGTTACAGATTTGATTCGGCTGGCGATATTGCCATGCCATTAGTAAATTTAGTTTAATGAATCTAACACGATGTTAGTTTGGTTTGACCACATTTGCTGTGTCCATGTGTTCCAAGAGCGGTGCTTTCATTCGAGACCTCACACAGCTTATATGCATACACTTTCTTACAAACACCCCAAATGTCTCATCAAAGAATCGTGCATGATTTAATTTTGCTAATACCAGTAGCAACAAGCTGTGATTGATAATAACTCTTTCCTTTTTTGTAGTCTGCCATGGTAGAGCAGCAGTTATAGTTCTCAACTGCCAGCCTTAAGATTGCAGGTTTCATCTTGGTTGTTGCGATCACATTTTGATGGAGACGAAATTCCAGAAGCCCGCATACTGTGCGATGTCAGCGCACGTTAAAGAACACCAGACCATCAAAACTTCCGGAGCCCTCTGCTAGGACGTCTCTCATAATCACATCATGGATTTGGGACGTAAAAGCCCTTGCTATTATTGCTATTCATCTTTTGTGAGACATCTACATTGCTTATTTGCAGGAAAAAAAATAAATTCCCTGCAGGAAGCATCAGCTGACAATGCATAGATAATGTAGAGCATATGTTATTGGACTTTTTTTTTTTGCTTGTGGCCGACTGTTCTTAAATGTCACTGCCCACACGACAAAGGCAACAGATTGCAGCAGCTTTCCATGCTGCACAAGCCAGGCTTTCCTGCTTTTTTTTATTTCTCAGGTTGACCATTGTTAAAAACAATGGAGAGTTCGAGACAATGAATTGCTGTAGTATTGTGTTGTCTCTATGCTGCTGTCTTTTTCAGAGGGGGCAAAAAGAGCCCTGCAACCGTCTTTGAACTTCATTTCCTCTCAATCTGTTGTTGTAATGTACTGTGACAAATCAAGTACGGGAATCAATAAACCACTTGGTGTGAGACACACCCCTCTGAGATTTCTTGAATGTTGTCGCCACTTCTATATGAAAAATATGGAAATGCCAAGTGACGATGTGTAACGGACTTCATTTTCCCAACTGTAAGTACGTGCCAAAAAAGGGTTCCTTTAAAAGGGTACTGACACCAATTTTCGAAGCTAATTTTACTGTGCCATAGAAATCTTCTGTATACAGAGATGGCTCTGAGCAAGTGGGAAGCAAAGAAGATGCTGATAAGGTATATTATTTCAACAAAGATGTCGGGAAGAGGCTACGCCTATCTGTCCTGATGTGGGAGCGGCCAGCTAAGCGCTAGTTTGCACCCATGAAGGACCTCAATAAAGTTTTTCCATGTCATGTCATTCCATGTCATGTATTCAATTTTAGCAAAGTGCCTATACTGACAATGACACTCACATGACATCAGTTTACAGTATAAATTCTGGTGACTTGAAGCACCAGCATGGCTAGCCATGATGACATCAGGTACCAAAGCGTGCAAAATAATCCAGCAGCGAGCAGGCATGAAAAACAGCATGACATCTTGTGTCAGCACGTGACAAGAAGGTCATACTACATTGTGACATCAGGGTACAGTATGAACTGAAACTAGATTTTGAAAGCACACTGTAATTAGTAATTACTTCTTCAGGGTGCTTCAGGGTTCCACTAAGTAGTAAGTTTTCAAGGCTCTTGGGAGCTTGACCTTGACGTTAAAAACTCAAAATTTTCGTGTCAGTACCTTCGTAAATAACAGCAGGGAGGTCAACCCGATGCATATCCAGTTTGTGACCCTACCCTTAGAGAAAGAGGTTATGGCAGGAAAAGAAGGAATAAAATGAGGATATCTGGGGTTTTACAAGCCAAAATCACAATCTGATAATGAGGTGTACTGTAGTTAAGGGCTTCAAAAGTTTCAACTGCCTGGTGTTTTTTAACATGCACTAAAAATGCATCGGCCTCTGGCGATTCGCCCCCATAAAAATGTTACCAGCGCGGACGGGACCGAACCCACGACCACAACCACTCTACCACTGAGGCAGGCAGGAATGAAGGCTGCAGGGATAAAGGTGCCACCAGGATTGAGCATGTGTTATTTGAAGCAACGGTTATGTGCATAGAAATGGTGTCAAACGATTTCAACTGAATGCTGCACGTAATAATGGCCAGACTTGTGTGTAATTAACCTCGTGATATAAAATTAATTAGATACCAATTCTTCAACAAAGTGAATACTTTCGAAGCGATGTGGTGCACGCAGTTTTAACACACAATGCACACAATTCAAACCAGAAAATGTGGACTCATATCCCCTTCGAGAGACACTATGCAACATACCTGGAGATTATCCTCGGATTGACTACGTAGTCGCTTGGTGGGGTGCTTGATACGAGTGGCTCCGGCCGCCATTCAGCAATGAGCTCCTCCTTTTCCTGTTAACATGACAAAAACAAAAAGCCCTGGTTGATGCTAGGAAGACTGTGTCACTTCTTTTTGTCTCCATTACTATCCTTCACCAATCTTTTTATTTTCCTCTGATTTCCAGCAAATCCGTTCAGTCTAGCCATAATTTGTGTGGCCTACAGGTACATGGCACAGAAATTGAGTTGATCTGACTACTCACCACTGCTCCACTAAAGATAAGGAAGGCAGCAGTTAGCCCAATAAATGGCTGCAAAGCGAGGGCCCCGAGCCAAAGACCTCCCGAGTACATATGAGAAGAGGAGACCCCTAAGCGAGGAGACACCTACAATGCAGATGCGTGCGATTACTTTCAGTGCAAGGTTCTGTCTCTGAAGTTTGGACATTAGCAGTCAAGTTTCTTGTTTGGGTTGTGCTTGTGATAATATGTTGTGCATGGAACAGAAACCACAACCCGAACACCTCGATAAAGCTTCATGCAGTGGCACAGCGGGTTTGTGTGTGCACGTATGTGCCGTGTGCTGATGAAGAACAAACCGACAGCTTGTGAAGTACGGCCTCGTGAGTGGGAGACCTGTGCCTTCAGCGGCTCACAACGGTCGCGTTTGAGGTCAACCAGCGTTTGTGGCTGAGCAGGAGTCCGGCTAGGTGACTGGCCCAGGGACCAGGTGATGCATGGTTGTTCCGGCTGCTGTTCTTGAGGGCTGGGTAACTGACGAACGAGGCTAACCAACGTACCAGCTGGGCGACTAGCCCAGGGAGTAGGCGAGGTCTGTTGTTAGCAGCGCCGTCCACAGCAGTGGATTGAATCCTCGCGGTGGGCAACAAACGAGGCCAACTGACGTTCCGGCTGGACGACTGGTCCAGGGAGCAATGTGACGGCTGCTCCCTGGGCCATCACGATGCTGCTGGACGAGATGAAGTGGCCGAGATAAGTGGCCGAGATCTGCAACTGCTGTGGCAAAGGGCCGGATCAAGGAGAGGACAAACCCACGTCGAATACAGCGAGTAAGCCAGGCGATGCATCATCCTCAAACGACCGGCGTCCATGTGACTGACACAGCGAGAGAACATATCGCATAAAGACTATTGCTTGGATATCTCGTGTGCCCTATGTAAATGCATGTTTGTCCATTTGTGGGATGAAGAGTTAATCTAAGTGTGAGCGTGTCTTTGTGCACTGGTGTACTGTCTGGTCCTTTCTGGAGTGGTCCTGCCTCAATAACACCACAGTGCTCTCCTTGAAGTGGATCTAAGTCCTGTCAAGAAGATAGATTATTGGCGTTGATGAAGCAGGAGGCAGGTTAGAGGTAATGAAAACTCCAGGATACATTGCAGTGAAACATTTGCAGCGAGATATTTACAGCATGCTGAAGCACACTGACGACGCATAGACATAGACAGAGTCTTACTCTTCTACTTAACGTTCTTAATTAAGTACGGGCCAAAAGCTTTGTTGCTACATACGAATAACCGAGTCTCAGTGATCGACCACCAACTGGTTACATCCCAGCCAAAAGTTGCATTGTACAGAGTACTACTGATCTATCCATTAAGCATTAAGTAATTGCACCCTAGACTGAAGGAAAGCGATTTCCATCCAGCTTTTATCATGTTAGGGCAGACAAAGAAAATTGGAGGTGACCACTGCTGGGCCACCTCAACATTCTCTTAGCCAATTTGTTTACCGTTAACTCACTCCTTACAGGGCTACACCTAATCTTGATACTAGTGCTTTCACAGTTTCGACATGCATTTTGGCACTCTTTTTCATCATGGCCCTCTCTCTCCCTTCCTTGCACGTTTTCAGCGATTCCGCGCTGTGTGGATACATCTTACAGTTGTTTGCACATTTTTGTGCAATGTGTCCAATGGCCCATTCTCAATGAACACCCGTAGTGATAGCAACTTTGCATCTCATGCACGAGATATCTATGCCGAATCCCTGGTGCCTTCACACATTGATTGATTTGTCGGGTTAACGTCCCAAAACCACCATATGATTATGAGAGACGCCGTAGTGGAGGGCTCCGGAAATTTCTACCACCTGGGGTTCTTTAACATGCACCCAAATCTGAGCACACGGGCCTACAACATTTCCGCCTCCATCGGAGATGCCGCCGCAGCCGGGATTCGATCCCGCGACTTGCGGGTCAGCAGCCGAACACCTCAGCCACTAGACCACCGCGGCGGGGCCGGTGCCTCCACACCTTCTCCCCACACCTTCTCCCCACACTCAGCAAGCCAGAACCATGGTGCCGGTCATTAAAATAATGAAGAACAGGCCACCACCGTCCTTTCAAACAGTTACGGGAAGCAAGAGGTGTTTGCCTCTCACCCATCCCCTTGCATTCAGACTGCACATTACCATGCCGTGAACTTCAACCCAAGCTTGCCACAGGAAGCAGTAGCAAAGTCACGTAACCAAAGCCACTGAGTGCTGGCACTTGGGCGCGCCCGAGACGAGCTGTTCAAGAGAAACAGTTTCCGTTCCAGAAACAAGCGCACAGTCGAAGACCGTGTGGAGAGAGAGCCGGGAAAGTAGCTGTGTAACGTGCAGTGCCACACTGCCTATTCTGCACGATTGACATACGAGCGACAGAAACTAACATCAGTGTTGTGTCTGTCTATGGCTTAACTCGAACCTCTCAGCAATGAGAATCAACATAGACGCAACCTAGCGTCCCCTAGCTAAAGCCTAGCGACGACCCGGAAGCAACCTAGAAACAAACTATAGCATCACCTCGCCAAGGCTTACAGACAACCTAGAACCAACCGGACTAGAGTTTTCAGAATCGTCCAGATTTGCTGTTTCAAGGCCTGCATGTTAAGTGCGAGCTTTGCCAATCTTGTCTCCTACAGCAGAGTAGCAGGTCCCATATACCTGACTACATATGATCTGAGCATAAGTATCTAACTTTCAGAGCGATACCCAACTCCGCCCAGTATAAACCTAGAAAATGGGCATGTGCATGCATTTGACCTTGAAGACCAGCCAATGCCAATTTCCTGCGCGCAAGTGTGTCGTCATACCAAGGAACATGCACAGCCTCGGTTTGTTCTCCAATTCTATGCACCCCTGTCTGTCAGTTAGCTTTCGCCAACCAACGGTGGGCAGGCCCGCCTCAAGCTTTTGTCTCATGACTCCGGTGCTGGCAAGGCAAAAAGAAATGCACGTGGTGCGCCACTGCATGCCATACGTAGGGCCGACCCCAAAGAGATTGTCACGGCACACTTTCTGAAGGCAGTTGGAGTTACTAATCAAAAAGCTCAATTTAACGGCGTTCAACTGCGACATAATCTTTTTTTTTTCTAATATATTCTTTCTTTTGAGTTTTCTTCACTCCACAGCACATTGAGAAAGTGGACCTTTGAGATTGACACCTTGCAAAGCTCAATTGCAACAAAGAAGCGTTGAACGAACAAGCATCGAGGTTCATTAACAACCACATCTCCCTATTGTGTAGTCAAACTGAAAGACTGCACACACGAGCAGAAGCTATCGCTCGGGAGTACTTGTGGCTATTAAAGAGTGTCTAACAGCTGGCATCTACGACCTAGCATTCTGGCTGGCAGAGAGGTCAGATATCTAGAATATGGAATGCAAAAAACTTGGCTGCATCTTCAAACAACATATCAAATAATTTGGTATGAGAAATTTCAAGGGCTTATTTTTATTTCTTAGATGGAATCAGATTAAATCAAATCATTAAATTGAATCTAACTATATTAATTAGAACCTATGGAAAAGTAAGCCAGGGAAAGGGGATGTTACTTTAAGTAAATATAGTGTAAACATAAAGAAGGTCAAGTGGACGACAAGATAACTTGCCGCTGCTTAGGGCAAATCATCTTGTCGTCCTCCTCACTTTTTTTTTTTTATGTTTACTAGAACTAACATTTCCTGTACTTTCCATGGCTTACTTGTCCGTCAGTTCTAATCAATGTAATTTTAAATAGTTAATAATCTTGCTAGGTAAATTTTGCCTTAAAGAAGTGTAGATATTTTATGTACTCTTTTTATGTGCTCCAGAAAGATGCTAAAATTCCTGGTTATATAGACATAGTGTCACTAGCTACTCGTTTGTTGCCTGCCCTTTTGCGCAGCACTAGAATGAGAGAGAGAAAGAGAAAGGATAAAAAAGGAAGGAAGGGAGGTTAATGAGAAATACCAATTACGCTGTGTGCCTGACCTCCTCGTCACTAATCTGTGACAGTTGCACAGGCCACTAGGAGACGCTCCACAAACTGTGTGAGAACTAATTTTTGAACTTGGCCACTGCACAAACTGCTGAGCTCAAATACAATTCTGCGCAGTTGTTGCTCACCTCCGCGCCCTGCGGAATTACGCAAAGCAAAATTTGCAGAAAAGTTTAATTTCTGTGAAACGTGGGTTTGCGTGCTGGAATTCTTAAATGTTCACGTATTCTCACTGTTTATGTGTCACACAAAAACACAGTCATGCAGGTCCAATAGGACGCACCTTAATCCTTTCAAAAAAGGACATTGTGCAGTTGCTCTTTAGGTATTTTTATCAAGGTGAGGTTTGGAATTTGCACAGGTAGGAAGACTCAAATGAAAAAAAAATTTTTTTGGTTGCATAAAATGCCTCACTTCATGTAGAGTAGACAAAGTAAAGCCTCCGCAAGTAATTTTTCATTTTGAGTTACAAATGAATGCATAATAAGAAGCTGGCTGAAACAAGGGATTCTTACTTTAATAAAATAAAGATTTATTAATAGTGGTATTATTGATTTCTGGAAGTCAAACATGATTGAGAACGTACAGTTTTTTGGCATGGGCTTTCAGGAACAGTTGTGGACCCAGAATATAGAAAAGTCTCCACGTCAAAGGGCCGAAACCAAGCAAGTCAGATTTTGCTAGTTAAACAATGGTGCCATGCAGTGCCATGCAAAATGCTTAACCCAACTGTATGCAAATTGAATAGAAATTATGAATCGAATATTGTTCTAAAAGCAAGGCTGCCATTTTCGAGACAGCTCACGTATAGTAGTGCGACCATTTTTTAAACAGCCCAAAAACTACCTAACATTTCCTTTAAAAAAAGGTGTCCACAAGATTCAATAAAAGAACATACGATTACTTATAATTGACACAAACAATTTTTTAAGTTCCACAGTTATATAAACTGGGGCAAACTTGTATACAGCAGGAAGTAGAGCTTTAGGTACATTACGTAATGTAACTGCAGGTTTAAATAGAGGGTTAAGTATATTATTCAAGGTGACACTTAGTCAACAGCTCTTAAATATGCCGGCACGTCAATACTGAACAATATTCATGAGTCAACATCATCATGATTGTCATGATGGAGATGGTAGATTGATGATTCTTGTCATTCTGGCAACACTGCGGTTTTAACAAAGCATACCTGTGATGAGTCTAACATCGGTAGTCTCGTTTACAAAAACCTGGGCTGCATCCATCATCTGCAAGCAGCCCATCTGGATATACCAATGATGAGTTCAGCGGTGATAGTAGCCACTATCTGAGCACGGAAGCATAGCCCTTTCCTTTCGACACGCCAGCGCATGATGTAGCTGATGCGTCCCCCATTGATCTCCTCAATGCTCAATATTGCACGCGCTTACTGTAAGACTCATTGTCATTGATGACTAACACACTATGCAGCTAACAAAACTGAACTGTGCTCACATCGCCACTGCCACGTGAAAAAAAGTGCACCCTGCATCTGTCTGCTGAACGAGGTGGGGTTGGAAAAGTGTAAGCACATTATATCACGCACACAGGGTAGCCCACATTTTACAAGTGCATGATTCCAGAATTGACTACCAATCTTTAACATTCGTTTTCTGAAAAACTAAATGACGCACAGTTGTACAATCTGGCACATATCATCAGGGTACCAAATAAATATATGTTGGAAGTTTTAGTAAAATTGAATATCAAAAAATTGCTGGAGTTCCCCTTTAAAAAGTTATCTGATGGAAGAAAATTATCCCTGAAAGCACCGATCCAACGAAAACTTTCTGAAATGAGACCTTTTTTTTTTTTTCTCGAAAGCTAGCTAATGTTACGTTGCTCCCTATTCATACTTCTGTTGCTTCTGCACTGAATATTTTAAAAGTACCTACGACTGACAAAACATGAAATGAGATGACTGCACAGATAAAAATATTGTCCCTCATAATGACTAAAACCAACCCTATTGTTTTTCATGAGAAGTGGAGCTATATTTTTATTTCTTAATTGAAAATTACAAAAATAGCTTGTGCCGCCCGCCACCTGGTAGCTGAAGCTTCAATTATCCAAGCTGATCTGTCCATGACCATAAACTAGTGTAAACGGTCAACGATTTCCTTCAGATTATGAGACTGACGTGCTGCCTACTGCGCTGCCGAGGCGGACGGTCAACAATTATCTGTTAGTATTTAAATATTATTTGCTTCTTTCTAGTAAAAGGTATTACTTCATGCTTCTTTCTAGTAAAAGGTATTACTTCATGAAAATGTACTGATAGGCCTGCGTTAGTAGTGCACAATAAAGTGGCGCTGCCTTCGCATCGCGTAATGATCTTATGCTCGTCAGCACGTCTTGGGCAACTTTTCTACGTGCTCATAAAACCGTGCACGCAGTTTCCGAGTCACTAAAATTTTGGAGTGACGTGTCTTTTTTACCAACACTTTGCTTCAGAAATGATGCGCAGTGACGTTTTTGGTGATTTGACTTGTCTCGTGCGTCGAGAGAGTAACGACGACGAGACAAGCCATGCACGACATAGGTACATCAACCTTGGGTGCAGGCGCAGGCAAAGCGGTACAAATACAGGGAAGCTGTATTAAGCCACATCGTCTCATTGTAATGGCTTGTTATTTTTTTAAAATAGTTGTAAAGCTCAGAATAAAGGTGTTTAAGCATAGGTACAGGAACTCCTGTGAAATCAGAATAGCAGCAGCATGCACAAGTCACCAGAAAGGCTACCGGCATCGCTATAAATTCTCAGCGTTGCTGAATGAAAGGGCAGGTCGGCGTTATAAGTCTTTCAGATCGAAAAATACTAGTTATAAAATATCTAGGTGGAAAACTGGGTTAAAAAAAACCATTTGTCGGTCCCTTTAAGCATAATTTTTCACACAGCCAGAATCAAAGTGTGTGTATTCGCAGACCAGATAATGAATTACCCTTACTGTCATGGTGGTTTTCAAAATGTATGAAGGCTCTATATGATGACCTTCTACACAAATGTCAGATATGAGCCCCCTAAAGTATGTCACATAAAGAGTATTTTGAAAGCACCTGTCCACCCGCATGATGTGTTTGCCACAAAACAATGTGAAAAACGCTTAAAGTGATCCCGCTATTTCGTGACACAGAACAAAAACACCGTTGTCTACTTTTGATTTCACTCCGATGAAATTAACTTGGTGCATTTATGAAATTTTCATAATTACTGCACAGCATAACATAAGTGAAGAAACTCTTGCACACCGGATGCAGCTGGGGCCTCCCCTCCTGATTCGTTTGGGGGATAGTGTACAAAACATACACATGAATGCACAAAGGCGGGCTGCTGCTACGTAAATCAAACAAAACCTCTAGTAACATTGGCTCCTGCAACAGCTCGCGGTCAAAAATTTTTCATTTCATCAAGCTCCCATCTTTTCCTGAAGTCATTAACTAACGCAACAGGAACAAGACACAGAAACAGTGAGCAGTTTAGGATCGACCTGCACACGGCATGAATCTACAAAGAAAGCCACACTGTTTTGCAAAGAATGTTTTTGCAGTTCAAGAAAAAAAAATGAAGCTTGCACCACGCCCCGCAAGGCTTGTTGAAAACAGCAAAACTGAATGGTTCTGATGAATAATCTGGTTGCTTCTAAGATGCTAGGTTTAGCTAAATGAAATTAAGTTGTTTCTACGTCGATTTGCGATGCATAGAGATTAGAGTTAAACTACAGACAGTCACTGACACAACACGTATCAACAAACTCCAAGAAAAACCTGTGCCGAAGCTAGGCATTTGCACGATTACTTGAAAGACGTGACGCAAGGTTACAACTGAGACGGAACAAGAAGAGGAAACTTCTCATTTGTAGCCGTGCGCCACGGCCACGTCCAAGTAACGATGCACCAACTGGCCCAACATAACGTACTCTTAAGCATTTGCACCCCTCGTAGATCTACGGGCGCATTGTTGTAGGTGCGGGCTTGCCATCATGTCTGGGCCTTGTCGTAGCAGCCGTTGCCTTTCCCTGTTACCTAGTATTCGCTCATTGTATGTACTCGGGGGGATCTTTGGCTCTCCACCGTCGCTTCACAGCTATTTGTCGTGGGCTAACCATTGTCTGCTTCATTCTTGGTGAACAAGTAGTGGGCAGTGGGATTTATTCAATTTCTGTGACACAAACTCGCTTATGATCCTGTTTTTTGGTTTGTCTGACAAAGACGATTTGCTGAACAGCTTTGGTGTTCGAACTCGGTGCCTGTGGGCAGATTCAACCCAGGACTATTTAATTCACCTTGCGCAAGTCGTGATATGTATGGCTGGCTTGAAATGCCAGATGTGCCAGCCTTATCTAGGTGGTGTTGGCCAGCCACATACCCACGTTTTAAACGACCGCTCAACTGTCGCACAGACTCGACACTTCAGCGTGCTACCCCAAAGAAAGGTCAGACAAGTCCCGGCATTACCGAGTAATGAAATCTGCGACCCACAATCGCATTGCTCGGTCACACTCGTCAGTGACAGATCTGGGCCGGCAGCACACTTCACAATCTGGAGCGTCTGATCCCGCGGACATTTTGAAGGCAGTGACCTTTAACTTTCTGTCACGTTACGTACGACACGAAAGGGAAAAAAAGAAACAACGAACATAACCGGGTCACGTACGAAGCGATGCGGCCACGGCCCCGCACGCCAAATCGAGGTGCAGCTTCGCAGGGGATCATCATTCATAGCGACCTGCTCCCGAAGACGTAGTTGCTCGATTTTCCAATTAACCCGGCGCGTTTGCGCAGCCGATCGAAGTTGTACGTCGAGAGAGGTGTTAACAGACTGTCCAGCGCGCAATGTCGCTTCTGTTTGCGTGGATTGCCGTCGTCATATCGCAGGTATACGCTCACCTTTTCGGTGAGTTTCGATTTACCGGCGTCGGCGGGCGCGCTTTTACGCAGCAGCAACCAGAGGACCCACACGAACAAGAGAGCTTCCAGCGCCAGGTGATATGCGGGAGCCTGCGAAAAACGCAAAAGAAACGCGCCAGGTTTCAATCCCAAACAGTCGACGGCAAGGTCGACTAGCAAAAGAATGATTCACTGGTCAGAGATAAACAGAGTCCGGCGCCGTAACATCCGCTGAATCAACAAAAAGAACTCGGCAGCTTTCGTTTCACCCAAACTGGAGAAGTGCTCTGCATTAGTACACTCTACCCAAACATCGCAGACGCAATCGGCACGGGCTGTTCACACACACAAAAGTGCTCTAAGAGCGACGAAATGATCGGGGCTTTCTTTCGTTTTACCACGGATCACACACATCACGCCTACGCCGCTGACCACGCTGAATGCGTGAGCCGCACGTGTCTTTTTAAACACGAGCGCCGCCGATTCATATTATAATTCTTTTCCCCTTCCCGCCGACGTCTTGATCACAAGACGACGTCAGAGATCGCGGGGTAACGCTGCAGAGACGAGCACGTTTTCTTTTTTCGTCGAGCGAGCTCAAGAAACGGCACAACGCAGCACGAAAAACACCGGCGCGGGGCCTGCGGTTTTCACTTACCCGCAGGAAGGCTTCGAACATTTCGTAAAGTTCCCAAGACACCGCTGCCACGGCCATCCTGTCACGATTTCTTCGAGGTTAGCCCGTGGGACGTTTTCGCCTCTGACGATGGGTTGACGGCCGGTCGTTCTTGACGAGCGCACTACGGCGGGTGTTGGTTCACGCAGCAGGCACGTCGTCGAGGCGAGGCCCGTTCACGATGGCTGGGTGCGTCGCAAATGCAGCGGCGCAGTTTTTACGACATCGGCGGCAAGCGATTTTTGGCGCTGACCTTCCGTACTATGGAAACCCCGAGATGTGGGACCGCGTGCCGAACACAGCGCGACGCCTGCCACACCGACGCCGGAGTGACGACTGGGCGAGGAGGAAAGAGGCGTGGTGGAAAGAGGGGGAAGGGTGGTGTGCGATATGGATGCGATTGGGAGCGCGTCATTTGATCCTGGTTATCGCGTGACATTCTTGCTACAGAACACCTACAGATTCAAAGAACTCGGGCCCTCGGAAAGTTATTTTCCGCGCCATAAAGTGGTGCTCCTTTTCTTGGCAAGAACGAGCTCGCGGTTCAGATAGGTAGTACGTGGTGTTAATTGTGTATAATTTTTATAATGTCGTGCCATTTTCCTTGAGTGCACTCTAGCTGTCACGGGCATGACCTACTACACTCCTGACCTGTTCAGATAGCGGGGTTCCTATGGGAGCGCGTGTCCCCGCTCTCGTTCAATCGCTCGCCGTAGGTGGCGCTACCTATAACCTGTTCGTCTGCTACTGTGCGGCCGGCAGGAGGGCGACGGACTGATACCATGCGTCTGCTTCTGTGACAAACTGCCTATACGTGTGATTGTTTTTTGCTGAAAAGGCTAACGTGTGCTATGTGTTACATTTTAGTAGTTAGGCTATACTGGTTGATTGACTTCTAAAGCTGTATATTTGCGTAGAAATGTCTTGCTGCATGGTTGTTTTTGCCATTCCAGCCTAAAAAACTTCAATTTAGTATTCATAAAGCTTTTGACTAATAATGTACTCATTGGTAATAGAATATCAAACTGATTTTAGGTTGTTTAGGACGCGTCAGGTGAAACGCAGTGCCCCTGTTGAGCACTTACCTTGGACACTCGCCCTGGACAGGTGTTACACTTGTAGTCAATTGATAGAAGAGAATAATGCACATACGCCCACGGACGCATATCAAGGAGAGACACAGGAATTGAAGCTTTAACTCTTACTGTGACCTACACAACAAAAATTGTGCGTCAAATTTCGCTACGGGAGTTTGTCTGCTGGAACGGGGAGCGCTGGCCGATGCGCGTTTCTATGATTTTATATGTCCGTGCGATGATACCAGACGACAGCGAACAGGTGCTGCCTAGCGCCACGCCGCTCGTAGGTGACGGCCCTAGCGGCAGAAGGTATGAACTAGAACGTGGGCGCTGGAAGAGGTGCTCTCTGGGCAGGTCAGGAGTGTAGTAGGTCATGGTCACGGGCATAGAATTTGTCGCGTGCACCTTGGCAAAGTGCACTAATTAAAAACTTACTTTCAGTTAAAATACCATGGTTAGACTGACTGCAACCACGTGTTTACTTGTGTGACAATAAAACAACTGAAAATGGTTTAATTTTGGTTTATCCGCCTGAATCAAGCGGAATGCAGCAATGCAACAGTGCACAACAAATTTTGTGTTTATTAGTGTTCACTCAAGAGCAGCTTGCTGAAAAAACAAAAAAACGCGTCACGCTGTGAGGCATGTCAGTTATCCTTATCATACCACTAAACGAAGTAAATGGTGTCTATTTTCAAAGGTAAGAAAGGACGCCTGTAGAACAGCTTCAACTTCACACGTCATGTAACACGACCATAGAGCTTCCTGAAGCTCGACCCACACGCCTTTTAAATTTTCCTGTCGCACCACATCACAGCATATCTAGTGACTACAGTGGCTAACATAAACTGGTGGTGGTGGTAGTGGTTAGAAGATGAGAAAAGGCACCTAATTTCTGCAACCCGGTCGGGAGCACGGCGCAGTGCCTCATAAACTACTGTGGCTAGAACGCAGAACACCTATACACTAGAATTCTAGCCACACTGTACTGGCGGCGACGATAGCGCTACAGTGTCTAGAAATATACTATAGAAATAGCGCTCAATCAACGCCTCCTAGATTTCCTGTGCCAGCCGGATTATCAGCGGTCACCAGTAGGTGTTCTGTGCGGTCACTTGGGAAGCGGCGATCGTCTTAACCAAAGTAACGTTGGTCTTAACTACGGTGGTGGCGCCACTCAAGTAGGGGTGTCTTCAAATAGATTTTTACGTTTTTAGAGCTTATATGCAGCAAGAATAACGTAAAAATGTTTTAAAAAGGCGTAAAAGTAATTATAATTAACCCTACGTAAGTGACATTGTCATTCAGCAAGCAACTTCTTTAATACAAGGCATCCTTTAAAATTAGTAGCAAACGTTAAAATTGCTAATCTCAGAGGCCAAGTACAAAAACCCTTATTCCTACGTAGGCTGCGTCGTCATAGATCATGACCGGCGTTTTGTGCTCATCCATAGAGGAGTTATAGAGGAGGCTATGGCTCATCCGGCAGGCACAAGAAATCTAGAAGGCGTTGGCTCAATCATAGCCTCCTCTATATGGCTCAATTAACATTCCCGCATGGGGTAGTTTCGTACCGCGTGTTTTGTTAGTTGCGTATTCCCGTCATCGTCAAAATTGGAAGCAGCATGGCGGACAGCAACGAGCATTCGGGTATGATCGCCCAATTTTGTGGCGTTACCGGCGCCGACAGCTCGCGGGCCAAGCTTTTCCTCGAGTCGGCGGCCTGGAACCTTCAGGTGATTTCCTGTCGAAGCCAAGACCGAGCAATCTTGCCTCGTGCCCATTATAATGCAGCGGCCTGTGGTTTCGTGTCGCGTTCGTAATGCCGGTGCAGCCCTGTCATTTCGTGACAGTTTTAGATAACAACCATCAATTATTCGCTCGCTAATGGCCGATCGAGAACATAGTCTGGCCTGAGGGTCTTCCTATTTCGCGCTACGTTTGCCGTTGTACCACGTTCAAGAAGAAAAAAAAAAGAACGCTGCGTTGCTGGCATGACGGGAGCGTTTTGCGTCACTGGTAGCCTCTGCACTCTACGTCTGCCTAGTGTAATTACGGAAAGTGCTTGCGTGACTTTGCGCTTTGTACCGCTCGAAGTTACCGCTGCTTTGGTCTTGTTGTTGAGCTGATTTACGGGTTCGTTGAAAACCTTACAGAAAGCCTAGATATTTTGGAGCGAACAAGCTGACAACGTTTTGATATCAGCTGCGCAGGTTACAATTAGCAAGCCGTTTTAAACGCGTTGGTAACTTGCTGCGCTTTTCGGTCGTAACTATATTCGACTGTCCTGGCCTTCAACTGAGAAAAGCCACCTCTGAATGAGTCAGTGTGTTGCTAAACGGGAAAGGTATTGCCGCCTGTCGGTAATTAAAAGAAACTTCCCTCGCGGTTTATGTGAACACTCTCTCCTCGACTGAAAAACAGCCTGACAGTTGGCTGGTTGGTTAAACGTGATTGACTTTATGATCAAAATGAGACAACACTGATCAAAAACGTGATAAAAAAACTGAGACAACAATGTAGAAGGGCATTCTTATTCTGGAGTGGAACTAACATTGACCAGCCAGGTAGTGATAAACATTAATTACTGGTGCTTGAAGCGACGTAAATTGAGGAGGGTTTACTTTAAATAAGCTGCGTACTTTCAACGCTTGTGACTAAGCTTTCTGTGCAAAGCTAGAAACATCTCGCCCCCTGTATATTATAAACAAATGCTAATGTTTTGTTTGCCAGAAACACAATGTGATTCTGAGCATTCCATAGCATGAGAGACTGATTTAAATCTGACCACTTGGAGCTCTTTTTGAAGTGCACCTAAATCTGGGCTAGATGTTTTAGCGTTTCGGCTGCCATTAAAAATGTAGGTTTGAACCCACCATCTTGAGTTCAGCAGTGCAATGCCGTGGCTGCGAAACGGCCGCGGTATGTCTGCATTGACTGCCGAACTGCCAAGTACTTACTCATCCAAGAACTGTAACGATGTCCCCGCAGCTGGCGCTTGCATCATTCTATGAAGATCCTGACGACGGCAGGGACCACCAGAGCTCTCCAGAGCTGCCACCTGAGCGGCCCAAAAGTCCTGTTCCGGCCAGCAAGCCACCGTCCAGACCACCGGCCAGGTGAGCGCACCCCTGCTAACGTGGTTGCGTGAAGAATGTAAGGTGTGTGCGGAACACTCGGCACAGGCGTAGTGAACGCTCGAGGAGCTGCGTCTATTCGCAAGTTTTGTAGACTGTCACGCTGCTCCACGGCCGCCAGCGTAATTTTTTCAGACAGTATTGGAGTAGCGGTGGGGCAGCGGCGTTCATAGCATGTGCATGTACGTCTTGGCTGGCGTTGGGCTTTCACTAGAACATTTATGTTGTAGTTACTGGACGCACAAAGGTCACTGTAGTCATTGCACAGTCATCGTTTGCGAAAAGACACAGCGGAGTAACAACTGAGACCCTTATTCGCGTTCATCTGTATCTGTGAGTACGTTTCGCGCCTCATTTTGTGTGAGAAATGCGGGGCACGTTTTGATCTGCTTGCCATTCGGCACTGACCTTCCGATTTGATGATATCGCGTTCATTGCTTCGCCTTTGCAGCAAAGCTGTGACGTTTTTCAAAAATGCGTCCAAAATATCGGCTACAGACCTCCATGCTACATGTGATGTGTTTGGAATTCAGGGCCTCTTCGAGGCATCGTATTCGAGTTTCTGAAGCATCTAAGTTGTGCATAATATGGCTCTGCGAAAAAGGTAAAACCATAGCAAAACAAAAAAAAGTCCAGGCCGCATACGTGCTGAGCGATTCCGACCTTAACCGCTACTCTCTGTGGGCGCCATATTGAACCACCCTGTGCGCATCCTATAGGTGATGAAACTTGCGAAAAGAGCTCGTCATAGACTATCTTGGGCAGCTAATGTACACTTACAAAGTGCCCCTACACCATCAGTAATGATTTTGGCTAGTAGGAAAGTACTCACATGCCATTATTCGTCATTCTGTGGAGAAGTGAGGTACTCACTACTTACTGTCTGTGAGGCGTTATTTGCACTTTGTCGATGCTGTGGCTCAGGATGAAGAATTATGGCCGAACCTCTGATAAGGGGTAGGAAGCTTTAAACGATTGGCTAGTTCCACAATTCCCGCAGCATGATGCCTAGTGTTACAGCTTCCGACATGTTATATTACATCTGCTCTCATTATTCCTTGCCCGACAAGATCCTGTGTGGAATATTTTTGCCAAAGAGTATCAAGCACTAGCGTGGCTTCGTAGTAGGGTGCTCAACTGCCATACAGAAGGCCTGAGTTTGAATCCCGCTTGATCCTGGATTTTTAATTCTTCTTACCTGATGGGGGTTTGCAGTAGCGATTGCAAGCGCTAGTGGTGGGCAGCAGTGCTAGCTAAGAGCTGTTCCATGCGTTAGCCACTCAGCTGCAACGCACGTGCCGGGACCCCTGCTGCACCCAAGTCGAGGGTGGAAGAGCGTCGCTGATTTGCTTATTTGCCCCCCACTTTGGTGCGGCAAGTGTACTGACACGTGCATTGCGGCTTGGCAGGGAGCGCTTGGAAAGGCCCTCAATCAGCTGTTGCACCGGCCTCGTAACAGATTTTACTGTAAAACCTTGTGGCTTTGTGCCAGTCAGTGACGATGATAATTTTTATTCATGACTTGGGGCTTCTACTAGCTTAAAGGGGCCCTGCAACACTTTTTTTTTTTTTTGCATTCTGCAGCCCAGGAGTGGGTTTAAGGCTGAATACTACGATAAACACAAAATTGGTGCACGGTAACAGAAGTTATTAGTCTTCAAAACCCCATCAGACAAGGAAAAAGAAAAGCTTCCTTTCGCATTTCACTCTCCTACTGGCGTCAAAGGCCGCTTCCAATCGCTTGGGCCTCTTGCAGAGACATGCCGGACGGCTCGCCTAGTGGTGCCATTGTGCAACGCACCTACCGTCGTTTCGAAGTTCTTACGTTTTCATATTTAAAAACAGAAACCCTATTGTATTTGAGGCAGTGTACAACAATGCTTTTATAATTTTCAGCGCACAATAATGTGGCCTACCTAGGATCATATGCATATTACACGCAGCTTGTCTTGTCAAACCAATCAAGCTGGCCGGTCAATCTTGTCACTCGCACGTGGCTGTCACTTCTGATCACAAAAACGTCCTCTGTATATCGTGCCTAGTCTTAAACCAATGATGTTTTTTCATTAGAAATAAAATTAAACAGCTTTGTTTATGACCCTGCCATTCATGCAACGATATAGTAAGTGTCTTTCATATTGTCGAAAAAAAGCGATTAGCAACACGACACGCTTAAGTTGTGTTGCGGGCCCGTTTAAACAGCTCTTCTGTTGAGCAAGAACAAAAAAAAAAGTGCACATTCAAAAAAGCTGCAAAAACAGCATTAACGATCATTGTGGCCTGCAGCGCAAACCCTCGCATTCCAAGAAACGGAAGCTCCCTTTCATAAAGAGCAACTGACCGGTTTTCTTTTGCACCTGATCCTCGTTCGCACCATCTCAGCTGCCGCACTGATTAGACAGGCTTGCTCATCCTTCATCTGTGTTGACAACTATGGTTCATTAAAACTGTGGAGTGCACCCACACCTGCTCACATGCATTGCCAGAAAGCCTTCATTGCCATCGCGTACAGCCACGGCCACGCCTGTGTGGAGCGCGCAAGCAGCCGGTTTTCGCTCTGCGGCGCGAAACCTTGAGGCAGTTTCGGGCTCTGGCGTGGTGTGTCAGGATCATGCACGGCCAAGTTGTTGGGCTGACCACTGTCTGAGCTCGATACTGCCTCAATGTTTCGCGCTGCAGAGCAAAAAACGGCTGCTCGCGCGCTCCACACACACGTGTTCGCGGCTGTACCTACATTTACTGGTGTGCTCGTTTGGTCATCTACCCGTCTGGCCCACTTAACACGCCGTGTGTGCTTACTTCTGATAGCCGTGCTTTTTTGTGCGGTTCATTTTCAATCATGACCTACTAGCTGAGTCGGTCGCCTTGTCTTAGTACAGTAGACTCTTTTTAAACAAAACATGAAGGGACCGGGAAAATGTGTTTCCTTTAAGAGGAGTTTCGTTTACTGAGAGATAACAGAAGTATATATTTAAGTACAAAACCAAGTATATTAGTGGAGGTTGTTCTATTAAGAAGCAATTTCATTTAAGAGAGTTTCGTTTAATAGGAGTCTACTGTACTTCTTTTTTTACAACAGTGCCAGACTCCTGAAGTCCGTTCAAGAATTAGTTCTCGGTAAGGTGCAAAAATTTGCGTGTTCGACTTGCTGTGCAACGATATCGGGTGAATTCTTTGCTCATTTTGGACACACATCGGTGCCTAGCTTACTTGCGAGCGCAGTGTCGTGAATGAAATTTCCTCCGCGCTACTTTGTTTGCCCAAGCCTGGAGGGCTGCAATCAGATTTCGCAATTGGTGAAAGCCAAGCTGTCGGCTTCTGCCTCCGAACAGCCTACTAATACGGTTGTTGAGTACTGTGGGCCAGCGTGCCAATTGAGCAGGCTGCAGAACCGTAAGCGGTGTTAACGCGTGAATCTTCTTTGTTGTGGACTGCCAGGAAACTTTTTGAAAATATGGTTGAAGCAAAACCAAAATTTAAAAAAAAACTGCAAAAAAAAAGTTTGCGGTAGACGCCCTCTGTAGCTGATCAGAGGCGAAATGCTAGAGGCCCGTGTGCTGTGTCATGTCGGTGCACGTTAACGAACACCAAATGCTGAAAATTTCCAGAGCCTTCCAGAATGGTGCCCCTCATAGTAATGTGGTTTTGGGATGTAAAACCTCAGATGTTAATATTTTCTCTAACTGATTGTGAAATATATGGCCAACTGAACAGTATACACGAACTAGAGAACTCGTACAGACATTTACTCGCCTCCACACGTGGTTAGAACATAAAAATGGGTCACTTGTCGTCTTCTTCTCGTGCACTGACCGCAGGATCCTCCATGGTTGGTTGTGCCAGGTTAAAAGGGTCAATCAATCTTGCGGATGCTAATAAACGTCTGTCCGAGTTCTCTAGTCCATGTAGACTACTATGTCTGCTATATCTTTTGCAGGATTATGCTTTGTCATCTCTCTTTTGTTTTTCTACATCATCTTTGCAGGATTCGGGGCCTAGCAGATCTGAATAACGATGACAGCGCCAATGAAGAAGAGGGCCAGGCGTTCTACGCGGGTGGCTCGGAGCACAGGTGGGTTGGTCTAGCTCTTCAACCTCTTGGTTCTGTGTTTTCATTTACCAATTCCGCAGGCCTATACTTAGACCGATGCAGGAGAAGCAACAAAAAATACAAAGTTGTACAATGTCACAGAGCGCTCGATCACATGAATGGTGGAGTATTTAATCAACAGTGCCGCGGAACATAATTAGTGAACAGAAAACATTCATAGGCTGCAGAAGTTCATGAATAATTCACCCGGGCACTGCCGACACATGCCATATATAGATACATCATACAGAGCTAAACTAAACAAAAAAAAGGTAGTATCAAGTTGATTTTCAATATCTTCGGACTGAAAAACATTTCTTGGCTAGGAGTTCCAGTCAGCAGTAGTCCTGGGAAGAAAGCTATTATTAAAAGTTGTCGAGCTAAAATGGGCACAAATGAACATTGACGGCTATGTCTTGGTTATGTATATGGTTGTGGATGACTAAAAAGCAGTAGCCAGAGTTACAGCCACTGTACAATTGCATTTAATACGTACAGGAAAGTGTAAATTTTAGGGCTCGTTGTCCTTTGTTAGACACAATATTAATTGGAACTAACAGACAATAGTGCCAGGGAGAGTATAAGGGATGTTATTAGAAGTAATTGTAACGTAAATGTGAAGAAAAATAAGTAGGACGAAAATATAACTTGCCAGTGGCAGGATCCGAATCTGCGACTTTCGGATAACACGTCCACCGCTCTACCACTGAGCTACGGTAACGGTCATCTTCCCGTCCACTTTATAGGTCAGCTCCATAATATTAAGTACTTCAGTCATGGAAGATGGAAACTAGGTAGTACCTTGCAGCTACAGAGTTAACTTCAGTTTGCTTTTGACAAACATTAACATTAATGCGCTTTTGAAATTGACCGCAAAACTCTTTCGCTGCTGAGAAAGACAGTGTCAAATTGCTCTTTGTGTACATGGAAAGGAGGGGGCTGGGCTCAAAACCTGTCCTAAAAACTTTGTTTTTGTGCATACATATGTGTGTATATACGCACACACACACGTGAATATATGAGGCTTGGACCGTTCTTGGAATAAAATGCTGGCTACGCCTCTGTGAACTGCTGTGATTGTGCCAGCACAGAAGCTTGGAAGCTTTTGAACACTTTCACCATTAACAACCAATTGTAGATCGGTGTTGCTGTAAGTCCCACGGAAAAAATTGGCCCCGTATCTGCATGTTACACTGAAAATGTCGTCGAAATGTCGATGGTCTTGTGTCTGGAGAGAGTGATCAAAATGTTTATTTGATGGTTCTGAGCAAGAAACATCGGTGAATGGTATTTTAGGAGCTGCATCAGAGTGCCTCAAGCGTGCAGCGGAGACAAACTAGTGCATCGAGTCCCGTCACACTTGAGACATGAGCCCTATCTGGCAGTTACATTGGAAAAAGTAAGCGCGCGGTGTGCGTGCCCGTTTTGGAGGCGATATGGTGTAGAACGCAAGGCGACGGGTAGGTGCTGCCACCGTATCGTTTTAGCAAAGCGTTGGAAACACTTGCCTTTTCGTGCAAGCGTTGCATTATCAGCGCAGCATGATGAACGCTACGGTCCTTGGAATTACTGATGTAGGCCTTTTCTAGTATAAAGGCACACATACAGAAAACTGACGTGTTGTTATAGAGTCTCAGATATGCACAATAACAGCTTTTTAATCGACAATCACACAAGTACAAACGCTAAAACTTTAGCAATATTGGTGGGTGCTGCAAATGGGGTCCGCTGTTTAGGGTATCGTTTGGTGTTGTTTGAGGTACCGTTAAGGGCAGGACAAACACACAATTGTACAGACCAACACACCAAAATTTTTGCGTCGAAGGTCCCCAAGAAAGACTATCGTCGTTAATAATATATGCGTGTATTTGCACTTTGGGCATGTGGTGCACCACTTTTATTCGAAAGCTTAAGGTAGTTGGCACTTCTTGTATGTTAAAACCTACTTTAATATCTCCAGTTTCTTTTTCTTGGATTGGATCAATAGAACTTGAGGATACGGTAAGTTTCTTTCTTGAATTACGAGCCTGTTGGTGTTATAGTGTTCACAGCTTGTGGGGCACCTACAAATTGTAATGGCAGCAACAAAAATAAATGAGCTAGTTCTTAGAATATCGTGATATAGCAGTTGACACGCATTGAAAGACATGGTGAGACCAATCGCATCAGAGGGCCAGAACAATCTCGAGGTGTGTCCCCGCAAACAATTATGATGGTTACCACCACGTGATGATGATCGTGTACAGATGATCAAGAAGGGTCTGATAAACATATGCGGGCGAATCACTCACGGGTCACTCACTCCGACCCTGATCAGGCCGTGAGTCTGAGTCTGAGCTAGTTCGGATGATTAAAACTTGGGTAAGTTGAGTCGAAATGAGTCCAGTTGAAGCAAATTTTCGTCAGTAGGAGTCTAAGCGAGCCCGGCTCGGGAAAATGTTGGCGAGTCTCCGAGTGAGCTCTGAGCACAAGGCATCACGAGCGAGTTAAGTGAGCTCCACACATTTGGCTGACAAATGCCCACAATGTGTCATGACTTACGGAAGTCATTTGGCAATGGCTGCTTTCAAGCAGCTTGTGCAAGTGTTAGATCGCTCTCAGTTCACTTCTGGAACAAAAGAACACTCTTTCATAATTGTTATTTGTTCACACAAGGAGAACTTTTTTTTTTCCACAAAGAGTTTGGCATTGGATTCTTGTTTGAGGTGGCACACCTGATGAGTGTTGAGCAGTTCTAAAAAAGAGCGGCACAGTGCAATAGATTTATTGCTGCATGACAGGAAACCTTGCCATGTCATGATGTTGGGGTAATTCCCGTGACACCAGGTGATGCATTTTGGGACGAGCATCGCCGGTAATTAAAACGTTTGTTTTAATGGATATGCAACCTTCATGCTTGGCGTGAACTTCATTCTACAGAAAGTGCATTATCTGAGTTGAAAATCTGTGCCTCTAATTGTATCAACATTTTGATAATTTCTACCATTTTAGCCACAGGGCTGTTGTTTTTCACGAGCACTCCGATGCATCGGCAAACGTGCATTTTTCTTGCGGAAAGTTTATGTTATCGCAATCAGAATTGCTGTGATTTGATAGATGACATGATGTTATTCTTGTTGAGGGGCAATTCAGAGTGGGACTGGCATGCACGCTATAAGGAGACGATAAAGTACTTCAAGATGTGTTTCCTCTTATCTCTGTGCTAGTGTGCTCAACGAATTCACAAACACCAACCAATCAGTGCAACTGACTGTCCTGTTATTCTTGACTTCAGTGGCCAACAGGTGCTTGGGCCTGGCAAGAAACCGGACAAGGAGCACTTCGTGGCCGAGATGTTCAAGGCGGCGAAGATGTTAGTATGACATGCTTGCCTCGGCCTGCGCCCCTCTGGCCTGCATGCGGTTCGCTAATGACTTAGTGTTAAGGTGCATGTGGTTACTCCGCATAAGAAGAGCTTGTCACTTGAAAAGCATCATACGTATAAAACAGTTGCCCTACTCTCAGTAGCATGAAACGAGGTACTGTAGAATATCGTCGTTGGGGTCCTTCACAAGTATGAAAAAATAAAAGCGTATCACCTGAAAATACTCCAAAGGAATCCTCGAAATGTATGAAAATAGGCATTATTTAGTGAGAAGCTCCGTGACTTAAGGTGTCCGTGGTTTTTGAGTGCTACTACTCTGCTTAATGCATTATGCAAAGTAGCACCGTTTCGTATCAAAACGTTTTCACTGCCTGCTCGAAATCTGCACAGCAGTGGCCGCAGAACACATTTCTCATGGGTGATCGTAATGGCATTCAAAGGAGTTGTGTGAACAGCAAAATTTTGGGTGTGCCAGGCAAATTCGATATTAAAGATAGGGCCAAATTGATTTGGATAATATTATTACGCTTCTAAGCAAGATTACTGACAGGAGCTGCAGAGGACCTGTAAGTGAATCCTTATGCAACATTAATGACAACTAACAGACAATAATGCCAAGAAAAGGATAGGGGATGTTAGTAGTAAATGTAATGTACATGTTTTCTCATATAGATTACTACTGATAGCATCCCCCATACTCTCCTTAGGATTATTGTTTGTCTTCATTAATGCAGTGTCTAACAAAGACAAAAAAGAAGCCTTAAAATTTCCACTTTTTTTTTTTCACATGCAATAAGAACATGAAAGTGCTTCTCTCTCTCTCTCTATTTTTGCTAGGTTGGTGAAGTGCTGGAGGGGTGCTGTGACTAGATAGTGCTTTCTAGTTGTCTTGTGAAGAATGTGGCAATGCAGAGACTGAATTGTGTTTATTCACGTTATAGTATCTAGAAGCTGTGCTAATACACTTAAACCTCAATATAATGAACACTGATACTGTCATACCCCTTTATTAGAGACACTGATATAAGAGACAAATGGGTATAAATGACACCAGTGTGCCTTTAGTAAAATAAGGGCTGATAAAAAAATGTATACGTGGTACCGTGCTTATAAGACACATTTATATAAGAGACAAGAATTGCTGTCCAGAGCATGCCTCTTATAAAGGGGTTTAAGTGTATAACGAAATTTCGGTCATAACGAAGTTAATGAAAAATAGTATTGTAGTAGACACAGTGTTAGGAATAGCCTTTATAACAAATTTCCGGGATATATGAACTTATTTTCATGTAAGACACAACTTTTGTTTTAATAAGATATGAGTGTAGCAAAATTTGGTTGCAAAGTTAATTTGAATAAGAATTTGGCTTGTCAATGTAACGGCTCTTGAAACGTTGTGCGATCAAGGGATATCCTGAAGCGGCTTGCAGAAATTGATGAGTGAAGGAAAGGAACTGCCAGCAGAATAAATTTCACGTTTTATGAGAGTGCATTGTGCTTTCACTCTTTTTTGCCTCTCTTCTGATAGTCAACATAGCAGCCTAACATAGTTTTAAATGGTCATATAACATTATGCAATGATTCATTTTTTTCTTTAGAACTCTAAACAATTGGATGAGTTAAATTAGCTGAAGTGTAAAAGCAGTTGCTGTGCTTCGCACTTTTATGCTGCACTTTAATTATGTGCAGTGATCAAACGACCTTGTCTAATATAGTGTCAAGTTGTGGCGACAGCCGTTAATGTCTCTGGTAGTTAAGAGTTCGCGAGGAAAATGTGGTTTTTGTGCATCATTTAGAAGTGGTGGTTTGGATTTAGGTGAATGAAACCATGCTATTTACTTTCCGGAAGTTCAAGTATTTCCAACAGTGAAATTGAGTGCAAATTAAATAGCAAATGCTATTAGAAAAATGTTTTGAACTTCGAATATTCGCACACCCCTAGTATTCGAGCTTGCCCACTGGAGTATAAATTCATGAACTTTAGAAAAATAAACAGAAGCTCACTTCTGCAGTCATGTTGTCTAATTTCAAAACCCTGTTGTATGGTACAAACTGTTACCATGCAGAAAAGAAGTAGATGTCAGAATATAGCATGAACTGTGGTAGGCACAAGATCAACAGGAAAGCGGTTCCATTCGCTAGATGTGTTCCGAGTGAAGTTGCCCTATAGCAAAGGAAAAATCAACTTAGGGCGCTAGTGGCACAGGGTACCTATGCAATCCTGGCTCTCTCGTGTGTTACAGAAGCGAAAATTGGTGTAGTTGGCAAGGTAGCATGACCAGCGCAGAGCGAAACAGTGTAGTTTGTTCCATGCTGTTTTGGTGCGTTTTATGTTTTAATAATTTTTTTGCAAGCGAGGCTTGTACTGATCGACCTGTGTAACGAGTGATGGTGTTGCAAAAAACCCTCTATGCCCACAGCTGATGTACACCAAATTAATAATAAATATAATGAAACAAACTTTCTTTTCGGGGCTGGGGTATGAACACTGAACCTCTGGTATAAAAGCAAGTGCCTTGATGCATAAAGCTTGAAAATGCTTTCTGCTGACAATCCGAAACACGATTAGGGGAGCATTATGGCTGCTTTGTTGAAGTATCTTGTGCTGGTGGACTAGAAGTGATCTGCTGGACACTGCGTGAGGTCAATATACAGTTGAACCTCTCTATAAGAGACACTGATATATCAGACAATTGATTGTAAGAGGCACCAGTGTGCCTACAGTAAAACACAAATTCGTAAGAAGATGCATATGAGGCACCCTGCTTATATGAGACATCATATAGAAGACAAGATTTGCTGCCCGGAGCATGCCTCTCAAAAAGGGGTCGAACTGTGTCGGAAATGGCGCATTCCAGAAAAATGCCGACATTGGGAAAATTGAATTCCTATCCCACATTTCCATGATTGCGTGATGGTCCTTTTGTTGGGCTGTTCCGCAGGCCAATGAATGCTGGAAAGAACATGAAAGATGCCACACTTATTCAGCCCGAAAACGGTGTTCCTGGGCTGGGGACGGCGGCTACCCATTAAGAAATAAAGAAAGAAAGCATGAAGCAAAATAATATGTTCGCGTGCACAAGGTAATTTTTGCTGCCACCTCCCCCCCCCCCATTGTCCTGATTGGCGAAGTCAGGGCCATACCCAGTAATTTTTTTTTTTTTCGGGAGGTATTTCAGTGTAGAAAGAGTGGTAGATGCAAAGGCGTCTCAGCTGTTAAGGTATTACCCAAGATGCTAAAGCATGAAAAAAGGTTGTCAGAACCCACTGAGCCCCCCCCCCCTTCCCCCTAGTTTCATTACAGTCCTGGCGGAACTGCTGCTGAATATTAGGGGCCAAGCTCCTTAGGGCGTGGGCTGTGCGTCCCCTGTAGCCTGTATGTAGCCACCTCTAGTTTAGTTCTTGCAGTGTTCACTAGATGGCGGTACCGTCCCCTGTATGTAGCCACCTCTAGTTTAGTTCTTGCAGTGTTCACTAGATGGCGGTACCGTCCCCTGTATGTAGCCACCTCTCGTTTAGTTCTTGTAGTGTTTACTAGATGGTGGTACTTGTAGCTGATGATGAAAAGATGCAAGATGTTATAAACTAGAAAGCGGTACTTGTAGTTGATGAAAGACGCGAGATCTTATAAAATAGGAATGATGTCACATATGGCGCGTGTCATTGGTTGAAGGCAATCGTTCGATTTAGTGCGGCGACGTACGCTAGGGAGAGCGGTGTAATAAAATCGAGTGGGCAAAATGTACAGAGGATTCATGGTTTACCAGGTTTACCTCCGGAGCTTCGCCCACTCATCATCATTCACTTCGTGGATATGGCGGAATTTTTTCTCTTACCTCCATGCAATGTTTCAAATAAATGCTCAGTTGCTAGTCGGAATTAATGTTGTCCCCTCCGTTTTCCTAGGTCTTCATTGTTACGCACTGCACTTGACACGCTCTTGCATGTATTCCGCAGGCATGGTGCCCAGGTGGTGGATCCATCAATGGACGACGGGTTCACGTCTGGACCGGGGCGCAGGTGCCAGCGCGTTCCAAGGCGTCGGTCACCGGCTGGGCGACACCCCGACGAGCAGCAGTGAGCCCGTGGCCGCGACGGGGGTGTTGCGCCGCCCCCCGTCAGTCTCGCGGGTGTTGAAGATGTGGCAGGACGGCTTCAGCATTGACGACGGGCCGCTGCACGCCTATGACGACCCAGGCAGCCAGGTGTTTCTGCAAGCCATTCGTCGAGGGTGAGAAATCGGCAGGCACAGCTATGAAAGTTTACTGCGAAACAAGTATGTCGCGCTTATGGCGTGTTTTTCATGGGCTGCAAGTTTAAGATAGTTGGTCAGCGAGTTTCGATGTGTTGGGTGATGCCATACTTACCCCTTCGCAATCTGAAACCGTTTCTCGCCATCTTTTCGTTCTGGCCAAAAATTTAAAGGGACACTAAGGGACATTAAGTCAACATTGATTGCCACTGGGGCTGGAATGGCAGCTCCCCTGGTGGTTCCATATCATTGTTGGTAGAATTCACCTTTGCAAGAAATATATTCATGATGAAACAAGCGCAAAAATACACACACTCAGAGAGGACACAGACAAGCGCTTACTAGCAACTGAAAATTTTATTTCGAAGCGAACACTAATAAATACATCACACGCATGTACGTCATTCTCGACTTCCCCTGTCATCATCAACAATGTGATATAACAAAATATGCACGCGGCCACAACAGGAAACAAACACGCGTCAAGAACTAAGAAAAGAAAATATGGAAAGAAAAAACAAAAAAATGAAAAACAAAAAAACGTAACACAAAGAAAAACGCTGGGTTATCTGACATCCAAAAAAGCAAATTCCGATGTGACGTCCAAAAAAGCAAATTCCGCATCTGTTAGTAGAACTGACGCTTGGCTGACACAACTGTTCCCTCCTTTCCTTATTCTATACGCTTCCATTATTTCTCTCATCGTCCGCTTGTTGTGCCTGTCAATTATTCGTGTGTCGGAAAATTTCGGTTGGCAGGTGCACTCCTTGCAGTGCATTGCCAAGTGTGAGTAAGGGGCCCCCTTTAGTGAACTCTCATGGTCACGAAGGCGCACATTTATGCACCGACCCGTATGACCAACGTATTCTTTTCCACATGTGAAAGGAGTTCCGTATACATCTTTTTTGCACTCAACGTATTTCCTGTCATGCTTTCTGCTACATCTGTTCGATTCTCCAGTTCCTTTCTTGTTGACTAGCCTTTCTACTGCTGGACAAATCTTTGATAACTTATTTTCAGCTAAAAAAACAACCCGCATGCCATACCTTAATGCAACTTTTTTCAACCTATGTGAAATATTGTGCAGATACGGGACGACCACTGTCCGCTCTCTTTCACCCTCAACTTGTCTCCTCTCTTCGCTTGTGCCAATGATTCCATTTTTTACTTCCCGAGGATTCTTCTCACATGCCAAAAGGATACATTCATCCTGGTAACCAGCTCCCCTCAAGCGCTTGATCTGCACGGAAACACTCTCATTCATTGAGTGTACGCACGATTTCATGAGGGCAGCTTTGATGCAAGAAGTTGCAATCCCATTTCTTACTATCTTCGAATGTGCCGAATGATAGCTCAGCAATAGTTTTTCAGATCTAGGGTGATACATCCAACATGTATGAAAAGGAGACAAATTAATTTAGATCAGAAAAACCATTGCTGAGCTATCATTCGGCACATTCGAAGGTAGTAAAAAATGGGATTGCAACTTCTTGCATCAAAGCTGCCCTCATGAAATCGTGCGTACACTCAATGAATGAGACTGTTTCTGCGCAGATTAAGCGCTTGAGGAAAGCTGGTTACCAGGATGAATGTATCCTTTTGGCATGTGAGAAGAATCGTCGGGAAGTAAAAAATGCAATCATTGGCACAAGCGAAGAGAGGAGACAAGTTGAGGGTGAAAGAGAGCGGACAGTGGTCGTCCCGTATCTGCACAATATTTCACATAGGTTGAAAAAAGTTGCATTAAGGTATGGCATGCGGGTTGTTTTTTCAGCTGAAAATAAGTTATCAAAGATTTGTCCAGCAGTAGAAAGGCTAGTCAACAAGAAAGGAACTGGAGAATCGAACAGATGTAGCATAAAGCGTGGCAGGAGGTACGTTGAGTGCAAAAAAGATGTATACGGAACTCCTTTCACATGTGGATAGGAATGTGTTGGTCAGATGGGTCGGTACATAAATGTGCGCCTTCGTGACCATGAGAGTTCACTAAAGGGGGCCCCTTACTCACACTTAGCAATGCACTGCAAGGAGTGCACCTGCCAACAGAAATTTTCCAACACACGAATAATTGACAGGCACAACAAGCGGACGACGAGAGAAATAATGGAAGCGTATAGAATAAGGAAAGGAGGGGACAGTTGCGTCAGCCAAGCGTCAGTTCTACTAACAGATGCGGAATTTGCTTTTTTGGACGTCACATCGGAATTTGCTTTTTTGGATGTCACATAACCCAGTGTTTCTCTCTGTGTTACGTTTTTGTTTTTTTGTTTCTTTGGTTTTTTCTGTTGTTTTTTTTTTTCACATTTTCTTTTCTTAGTTCTTGACGCGTGTTTGTTCCCGGTTGTGGGGGCGTGCATATTTTGTTATATCACGTTGTTGATGATGACAGGGGAAGTCGAGAATGACGTACATGCGTGTGATGTATTTATTAGTGTTCGCTTCGAAATAAAATTTTCAGTTGCTAGTAAGCGCTTGTCTGTGTCCTCTCTGAGTGTGTGTATTTTCGCGCTTGTTTCATCGTGAACCTTTACCAACACGCCCAACTGACAGTCATCCTAAAAAGAAATATATGTTGCGTTGAGGCAGAACTCCATCAGACAGCACAGTTCGTCTGTGCACAGTTCGTCCTTTCGCTGAGGGTGTTCCCTCTCCAGGGCGTTTCGGGTAACACAGAGCGCAAGAGGCACTCGTGAACAGAGAAACTGCATCGAATGACACCAGGCTCTCGTCCCTAGGGATTGTCACCTCCGACATACGCTGAACAAAATGGGTGGCATTTCTCACGTGTGTGTGTCCCTGGTGGTGACAGGATCCTGTGGCGATGTTCCGAAAGTCAACTATCGGGCGTAGCAGGTATCCCCGGTTTGAAGATCTTTGGAAGGCCATATAATCCCAGTGCAGAACTGTTTCTACATATAAGGCATCAGCAAAGCATTCTTGATTTTGGGTGGTTTTTGAAAAATCCAGCTTGTTTAGCTTCTGTTAAATCCTGGGTGTCGGTCCTTTCGTGAGTTTCACGTATTCAGGGTTGTTCAGAAGGTTTTTTTTTCTTTTTTGATCAAGTAATTACCTTAGTCAGCTGGCAGGATGGTTACTATTGAGTCTTTTTCGGACTTCTTGAAGTGCAGCCTTTAGGTTCTGTAGGTTCTCGTGTGGTCGTTCTGGTAGCTTGGAGAGGATTCCAATGACTTTGAGTCTTACGTTGTCTATCGCCTCGCTGTCTAGGTGCCTTATGCCATCTTTAAAGCAGCTGTTATGATATGTGGAAGAGATCGCGGAGTTGTTGTATAGCAATTGTGCCCTTCGGACAGAATGCTTGCCTCGTGCTCTGTCGAATGTGTTCTCTGTCGAATATGTTGATTGATCAATATGTGGGGTTTAACGTCCAGAAACCACCATATGATTATGAGCGACGCTGTGGTGGAGGGCTCCGGAAATTTCGACCACCTGGGGTTCTTTAACGTGCACCAAAATCTGAGCACACGGGCCTACAACATTTCCGCCCCCATCGGAAATGCAGCTGCCGCAACCGGGATTTGATCCCACGACCTGCGGGTCAGCAGCTGAGTACCTTAGCCACTAGACCACCACGGCGGGGCCTGTTGAATATGTTCACCTTCAAACTATATTTATTTATTCAGATATGACTGAATCGCTACAGTAGCAAACTTATATAGTTTTTGTGTGTACCGTATCACGGCATACGTAAATGGTTGCAACAATGCAGGGTTACCTGGCGGTGATGTAGACGTCTTGTCACTTTGTGCAATAACAGTCGTGGACACGTTGTAGTCCACGACTGTTGATGAATTTTTTTCGAAAATGATGAATTTTTTAATTTATTTTTTTCTGCAATCCCAAAACCATTCAATCAATCAACCATTTGTTTCATTATGGTAAAATAATAGAACAAAATAAGCTGTGGAAGTAAAGAAAAAAAAGCACACTATCATCAAAAACTATGAAAAAATTGGGCTTTAGAAAATGCCAATTTGCAGCTGTCCCTCGGCATTGTGCCACAGCATTGGCATCATCATAAAGAAGACAAATCGGAGCTTAAGATGGCCACAAAGCTGCATTTTTCCAATGAGAAATCAAGCCAGCTTCCTTCAGAGTTCAGTTTTCTTACATTTGAGCTTGTTAGAGCTCTATTTGCCCAGGTCCATCCCCCCTTCCCGCCCTTTTTTTATTTTTCAGCTGGTACTGTCAGTCATCCCTGTACCATTTCACAACATATCAAGATACACTTAAACCTCATTATAACAAAGTTGAATATTACACAAAAATAAGTTCGTTATATCTGAAAATTTGTTATATATTCATAACACTGTATCTAATGCAAGACTTTTTTTCATTTACTTCTTTATAACCAGTAATTCATTATATTGTTAGATATATCGAGGTTTGAGTGTATTTTGTGTACTTCGAGCAAAGAATACAAACAGGCCAAGTGTCAGACAACAAAGAACAAGGTTGCTTTATATGTGCAGCTATTTATACGATTAAGATATAAAAGGAACGCATTCGAGATAGTCTTCCGAAAGTGCGTTTGCTGCTTGTATCGTTAATATGCGTGTGCAGTTCCACTGAATTGGAAGCATGGTAGCGTAAGGCGCTTGTCTGTATCGAGCATGATACAGGTATAACCGTTACATTTCCTGCCCTTGTAATGTGAGATATGATTGAGTGTCGTACAGCTGTCCATATTCGTGCGGAGGCCATATATATATATTTATAATAAGCCTTTTCTAAAGGTTGTTAGTGAGACAAAATGTGCAGGAAATTTCAAAAAACAATTTAGTTTGTTCATTTGATTATGTAAAAAATATGAAAAAAGTAAAACCAACAGCTTTATGGCACAGAATGGGCTTTTGTGAATATCTTTGTGCAAAAAATATTGACAAAATTGTGCCTCAATAGGTCATTTTCGGGGTGACAATAAGAGTCTATCAAGGGCCATAACTCAAAAGCTACAACAGATAGCTCAATAACTGTTTCAGGTATGACATTGGCACAACAAATCACGTCTGCATGCCAAATTTCATTGCTATATTTCCATAAATGATTTAAGTTTTTGCTGCCACGTCTCCCTTTGGCGAAACGGCCAGCAGAGCACAAAATCGCAGGCAGGGCAGGCAGGAAAGAGTGCTGTAATACGAATTATATAGTATTAGAATTCACTTCGACACAAATTTAGGTTATTTGAAATTGTTGGAAATTTCTAAGTACATTCGAAATGAGCGAATATATCTGTACACTCAAACCTCTTATAACAAAGTTGCACCTACATCAAAGTAAGTTCATTATATTCGAAAATGTGTTATAAAGGTTTACTCCTAGCACCATATCTATTGCAAGGGTAGTATTCAGTTACTTCGTTACACATAACTGATATTTCATTATATCCGGATTGGTTATATTGTAGTTCGAGTGTGGTTAAAATGCATGTAATGAGCCTCTAAATGTGGTTTCACTGCAGCATAGGGCTGTTATGTTGTGAAACGAGCCATCAAAGTGAAATCTTCTCTGTCAGCGAAACCACACATCAAGGTTAAATGTAAATAATAAGCTTCACCTCAATTATTTTTTGTCAAGTTCGAAAGTGTGTTACATGGGCTTATATGCGCTAGGCAAAGTAATTTTTAAAACAATGTAGTTGACCAGTTATAACTTGCACATTACTGCTTCACAGATCTACTGCTATATAAAGTTGCTTCCACTATTTAACAAACTGAAAAAGTGATATTCACACACCTAGTTCAAATTCTGAAATATGTGCTAGTTATAATTGTTTACACGTGGCAAAGATGCTAACTTTTCTTCATAATGTAAAATACATACTACTTGTGCTGATAGATTCAAAATTATTTAACCGAATCACTATTTTCTTCAATTGTCAAACTTGCTATTCGCTGAACCCTGATATTTTTGGGTGCACGATTCTGGAAATGCTGACCGTGGAGCACTACTCATGGCCACGGTAGCGAGTGCGTAACATTCTTCTTATTTCCGGGTTGTGGTCGTAGCATATGATCTGTTTGGTGAGCTGGTACCCAACCCATAAACCCTCATGTGCTACCAGACCTGCCATGGTCATAGCCCATGGTCGTAGCTTATGGTCATGGCCATGGTCATGCCATAGTCAGAGGTACTTTCAAAAGTTCACCAGTGCTCCAAGGCGTGCTGACATTTCCCCGAACTCTGTATGCAGGGAGATCCCAAGAGAGCTGCTGCAGGAAGCAAGTGGTGCAGAGGTGAACCTTAACATGGAAGACCATCGGCTTGAACAGTACGTGGGGCCCCCACGACCCAAGGTGACGGCCTTCGAGGGCGCGGGACACCGGCTTGGCACGTGAGTCTCACGAGGACGAGAGGCTGTGGGGTGGGTCACACGATGGACTGAGGTGGCGAAAATTATTGTTTTGCATTCTTCAAACTTTTATAGATTCACAACGGTGCAACTGGGCACGGTCATCTTGGTCTCGTCAGAAAGAGCATTTCTTCATCTTGAAATTTCCCGCCTAAACTGGCTTCTCTCTTTAGAAATAAGTGTACAGAAAGCCAAATATTTCAAGGTTGTTTCGAGGCCTCTGATTGGCTACAGCCGCCATGATGCTCCAGCACACCCCATCATTGGTTCAATTGTCGACTCCGGGGGTGCGTTCTCTGCTGCTTCCACGTTGCGAGGTCAAGGCTGTGGTGTGCATGAAAATCGCTCTACTCAGGTGTTCACTCTCGTTCTGTGTTAGTGACCGGTGATCATTGAGCATATAATTAGTGTAGCAGCTTGGAAGCTCAATCACGAGACAGCAGTAGGGCAACTCGCTTGTTGCGGACATCTCTGAAGTGCATCTTAGACCTGTATTGCATTCACTCATCAGAGCCATGGTGCCCACCGTTATCTAGGATCTTGTGATTAATGTCACTGAGAGGTGACTATTTGTACTTGTGAGCAAAAAACATGGCGTACTTTGAAACATCAGGCACAGCAGTCGCGTACGTTGCGACTGAACCTGCCATATTTGCACGATTCTAAGTCAACTCAAGTGTAGGTCGGCCCCCTAGAATCGTACGAGAATAATAGGAGTGCAAGTGCATTTCATTTTTTAAAAAAATAAAGCTATTTACTAAGCTATTTACTGTGCCTGCAAAGGAAACCAAATCTCATTTCGGTGTACCAAGGAAGCTTCACGGCAGTTCTTTAAAGCTGTGCACGAAAGCTAGCTTCGTGAGAATACGCGGGGATCATTTTCAGAAAGACTGTACAACCGAAGCTAGTTTTTCTACTCTTGGTCGACCCCCCAAATACGGATTTCAAATTGAGACAAAACGGGTCTGGTACTGCTCGAAGTCGTGGCTAGGCCTGACGTCACTTGCTGTACCGATGTATGAGACAAATGTGAATTTGGCAGGCAAGACACACAAATGCGAACAGCGAACATGTGAAAGCGAACCAGCCAGTGTGCTTTGTCACAAGCAACAAATCGCATAGTCCGCTGGCTCCTTGGGACCGCAGATCGGCATTTTACGCATCGGCAGTGGACCTCACGGCACCGGAGCAAGTGCCCACGACCAAGCTCGAAGCAGAGCAACAATTTCGCATGTTGGTGCTCCAAAGTGCGAGGCCGAGCACATTGCACACTGATGTTTCGTCACCGCACCTAGGCAATATCGTATTGCACGTCGCCATCGAATGCCGCCACCGAGCATATTGGGCACCGATATTTCAGAGCGCGTGGTCGGGCACGTTGTGGGGGAATAAGCACTATGTGGTGATGCAATTTAGGTGAATTAAATCATGCTTGTTAAAGTGTCATGCTTTTCTGAATATTCTAAAATAATGAAAGCCTTTCCCACTACCGTTCCCATAAACGAGTGAATGATTAGGCCTAATACAGTCGATGGAAACAAGTGAACTCGTCTGAAGTAGATGTTGAATCTTTGTTTGGCCAAGTGGCATCATTTGATGAACTGCTCAGAAGTTACACTGCCACCATCTGGGCCATAACTGCCATGGCAGGCTTCAACTTTTATGGCTTCGCTGAAATATGCAAGACTGTGGCCACCAAACTTGGTAGCGTCGCCCTTCAGAGATGCGAGGAAAATTAACAACTCAGAAAAAGAACACAGTGCCGAAAAAAAAAACAACCGAAAGGGCAACGGCATAAGAAAATCCCTGTTGGCAAATATACTATATATTACAGCACCAAGACATTATTATAGACATGTATTGATTGCACATGTTTAAAGCCAGTTTTCTGAGAAGTGCATTTTAATCAAGCTGTCATGTTTCTGAAGCGTGGCACGATCATGGCTTGATGGATTTTCATGAGGTCAGTTGCATTGTGTTTGTTTTCTTAGTAGGTTCGCTGTTCAGTTGCATTCATATTTTTTTAATTACTATGTCATTTTTTCACTCTTTCGTTGTTAATCTGGTGGAATGATAAAGATAGCCTTGAACAAGGATGTGGTCCCTGTAAAAAGAATTCTGGCGTTAAAAAACATTTGAAGAATTCCACAGCGCAAATCATTCCTAGGGCTAAAATTTATAGGTGCAACTGCGAGCTTCTACCGTGTCTCTGTCTCTTCCCCCTCCCCTCCCCCCCCCCCCTCGACGGGCTGTGTGGAAGCTTGGTACAGCAACGATGCTAGCAAAGCTACTGAAGGTATCATAATTAGACTTCATTATTAATCATTCAGCCCACTTCTCAATTAGCTTGCCAGCCTTCATTGCTCCAGTATTAAGAAATTAAAGAATTTAGCCTTCGATCCCGCAACACGGTATGAATGTACCGTCGCATGCACACGCAAGATATCGGAACGTTTCCATTGCCGCTCCACATTGTAGCTACGTTTGTGATGCACAATCAGCCATCTTGGAAGTTTCCGTACCTGACGTCATCACAACTTCTGTGTGAAGTCTCTAGAGTCAGTGCTGTAGCTTGATGTCAAGCTTGTGTAGATATCGAATGATACGCCATGGCAAAATTGACTATCAACATTTGCTGAGCATCACACTTGTTCACAGCCGTCTCTGTATATAGGAGATATGTTCGACAGTGTTCACTCACCTTTGAAAAATGGTGTCGGTGTCCTCTTAAGCCGCGAGACATCCTTTCATGCAGTATGACCCCAACACTGACTCGGCCAGCAAATTCAAACTTGCCTCCGGAACAAGCGGAGGCGAATGCGAAGGCGGGGATCGGCCTCGACGAATCCAAGCCCACGACCAACATCCAGATTCGTCTATCAGATGGCTCGAGGTATGGTGCGCTGGAGTTGTCAAACTTCTTTTTTTGCCCAAGCTATGCTGTGGCCATTGTTAAGTGCTTGTTTAAATTTGTTTGAAGTGTTGGAAATTTGTTTTGGTGCCTCGCACCAAAACAACCGGTGCAGAACTCATCGTTTGTTTATCTGCGGCGTTTCTTTTTCTTTTCAAGAACGTATTAATGAGGTTTTACTTATAACTCTCATAAATAATGGAAAGAAGTGATAATTTAAGGGCTCGTTGTTGTTTCGTGGGCACAGCATTAATGAGAAATAACGGATAACTAAGTGTTCCTTTCCATTACTATTCTCTCTCGAGCTGTTTTACTGTTCTTGTTGATAGCTGTTTTGTTTATGTCGTGATGCGTAGATCTGTCGTTTCTTTTGCCTTGCCCTCCTTGCAGGCTGGTGGCCCTCATGAACCACACCCACACTGTCGGAGACATATTCAAGTACATCGTGGTGTATCCTTTCTTGTCAGCTGGCCTGGCGTAGTAGACCAGAGGTGCTCGCTTATTGGCGGTCTCCACAAATAGGCAACGTGCGGAGCCTCGGCAAACCTAGTTAGGCCTTGAAAATCGAAATGGCGGACTTTGGGCAAGAAGCTCGGCAGAGCCGAACCAACTATCCAAGATGTAACGATCTATCGGCTATATCAACCCTATTTCAGACCACTCAAGGTTTTTCTGTGCTACCCATTGAAACAGCATCCACATTTAGCAAGCATTTTTTCAAAGCCTCCTGCTTTTATTTTGATGAGGAGGCTTTTGCACCTCGTCATCCTTTCCCTGTGTAGTTTCAAGCAGCTTGTCAAAATGAAAAAAAAAGAGAAAGGAAGAAAGCATTGGTAGCTTGTGACAAAGTCCTGTTACTTCGCTTATACTTGCAAAAAAAGAAGCCCTGACCACGCTAAGAACACGTCTTCTTTTGGAATTCCCCCTCCCGGCATAGTGGGATTCTGTGAAATCCTGGATTTCATCAGTTGTTTAATGAATTCAAGAAATTTTGGGGAACCATATATCTGTGCAACAGAAAAGCTCATGTTAGGTCATTCAAGATTGCCTACTTGTTGTAGACCCCTCTGAAGAAACATATAGCAAAACACTGGCATTGGCCGTTATTAACTCTCAAAGCTTGTGCTAGCTGACATTATATGCAATGCTGCCAACATAAGCAATTACAGTAAAACCCCATTACGTTGAACGTGGTTATTTTCAAATTCTGTTTAATTTGAACTATTTCCACGGTCCCGTATTTCGCAATGTAAGTATAAGTGGATAATTTGAAGTGGGGGTCAGCACCATTCCGGTTAATTCGAAGACTTTGGGTGCTATGTGCCAATTCCCAGTCCTGATCTAGCAGCAAATCCGTGGAAACGATGGCCTGTAAGAGACACAAGGCAATGCAACGTAGCGATACTAATGAGTGGCAGCTGAAGCACCCCAGCCCCGCGGCTTCCAGTGCAAAAAATAAACTGTCTTGTGGTCAACTTCAATGTGCGCCTGCAGAAAGCAAAACATGCTTCACTGCAGCACAGCGGGGACGCTCGGGCAGCGTATTGCATCTTTCTTGCTACGTCAGCGCGTCATGATTTGACCGTTCTATCTGGGATTGTAAAAAAATTAATAAAGGTGAGTTTGCCGGAACTCGAGATGTATGCAAACCTCTGATTGTCCATGGTTCCAGCAATTAGCACACTTGCACTGCCGGCAGCATCCTTGCCTGCAAAGCCTTCTTTGAAAAGTAAGTTCGAAAGCTTCAATAATTATGTTTTCCAGCCAAGAGATATCGCGCAATTTGGCACACTGTTAATAAATTTTTTCGTTTTGCCAGAAAGAATGGAGGAATGGTCACATCATGGCGTGCTGACACAGCGAGGAGCAGGCGACATGCTGCTTGTGTGTCACTACTGTGTTGCAGTTAAGCATGACTTGTTTTCCGCATCTCAGTTGATCACGACAGCATTTTTTTTTTTTTTCGGTTGCAGCAGCGAGGCCCATCGTTCCTTTGTTTTTGCGGCAAAATTGAGACGAGGTATTGCGGAAACACGCAATCTTTGGAGCCGCAAACTAGTTGGCACAACAAACGATCATTCGAATAATTGCAAGTTCCTTGCCTCTCACTCCTTGTATGTTTTGTTTATTTGAAAACCCGCTTTATTCGAACATTTCTCGCTGCCGCAGTGACTTGGAGTTAACGAGGTTTTACTGTACTTACTGGACATTTGCAAACATTAAGCAGTGCTGCTAGTTCGGAATATCTGAATATGGTGTGCCAGGACCCTGATATTGCATCAACTGTAGTGGCCTACCTTTTTTGTGCATTGACTTTTTTTTTTTTCACACTGTCGTACGGTTGTGTGGACATGTACCCGCCCATTCTTTTTCGTGGACACCTCGCCATAGAGCGCCTGCTAATTTCTTCTTTAAGGAGGAGTGCCATAACGTCACAAGCTGTTTCCCCTTGACAAAGCAATCTCAACCCAGCGCTCGGCCCGAGTACGAAGCAGCCACCTTCCTGCTGCTGACAACGTTCCCGCACAAGGAACTAACGGATGAGAACGCTACGCTGAAAGACGCAAACCTGCTCAACGCAGTCATCGTGCAGCGCTTGAAGTGACGGCCGAGTCCGGTGTCGCAAATTCAAGCATATGTACAGCTAGGCTTCAGGTCACCGCACGGTGGCCACGAGGAAGACAACAAAGATTGAAAGTTTGGCCCAGGCAACCACCGGCTTTTGGTTGCCTTATTAAAGGTCGCGTTTCTACATGTTTCTAAACTCGTTGCTACGTTTGAGCAGAAGTTGACTTCTGTAATGTACAATAAAGACAAGGTTTCATTTGTGTTTCTGAAAGTCCTTTTTTGAAAAGAACAGCAGTGGTGAGAAGCCCTGCATCACTGCTTTTGCAAAGAATCGCAAAGTAGTCGCACTGTTGTTTTGAGCGAATAGCTTTAGTTTTGCTTCACTTTTTTCTCTCTCTTTTCTCATGCGTAAAGCTTCTCGAAGAGCTCTAAGTGTCTCAGATTGCCAGCTGCATAACTTGAACACTTCACTTTGGCCGTAGTGCAGTTCTCGTTAGAAAGCTTGGAGATGATGTTGACAACTTTTGACCTCGGGGTGGTGATGTGCACGTGAAGAGAAATTTCGCATCGACCGTTTTGCCATGAGAGCTGTTCGGAGATTGCAACACAGGGCACGTGCAGCACTGAGATTGTCAGCTGTCGTAACAACTATTGCACAAAATACGAAAACAACTCAAAACACCAAAAACTTAACAACTATTGCACAAAATACGAAAACAGGATTCGAACCAGGGTCCACTGCGTGCCAGCCCATTATTCTACAGCTGAGCCACGCCCGTGCTTGAGACTCATCCGCAAACTTGCCTTAGGCAGGCTTGATGTCGGGAAAGGAATCGCGCTAATATGTTTAATGAAGCGTTTTAGAACAGTAAAGAAACAACCAGGCATCACGCTATGCGAATTGTGTAATGAGTGGGTTGTCCAATGCTCCAACACATTACAAAAGCTCGTTATTCTTCCCCTATTAACTGTGGCACATACCCACTTCAAGCGTACTCCTTCGTTGTCATCAGCCACTGAATGCAACACAAAATTCGCACAAAATTTGTTGGAAGTGTTTAGCAAACATCGCGCTTTTCCGAAAACTGACAACGGATTGCAGTGAATGTTGGCCTACTTCACAGACATTATGATTATTTATGACATAGTGGGTACCCTGGAAGTGTGCTTCTAGCATTTACAGAGTTTTTAGAAAAGGATCTGAAAGGCCGCTCTTTATGCTATAGCTGTGACTGATCTGTGCGTTCTGTGCAGGCCTGGTGATTTTTCTTTTTTTTAATAGTGCTTTCCACAATTTGTCATATGCAGTGGTGGGCCAATTACACCAATTGCGCCATTTTTCTACATTTCTATATCCCTGCGCCTTAGTGTGCATGTTCGAGTTTACATGGCGTCTGGCCGTTTATGGCAATAAACTTCGTGGTCACAAAAACACAACTTCTTATACAACTTTGCATAATGACGCCGATGTCCTCTGCCCACTTCAATCCAAGATTTTTTTTTTTTCATTATGTACAGCCTAACCAACGTCTGCACAGCTGCGTGTGCCACTGTTTTGAAAATTTAGCATCCATTGATAGTTGCTCCTTGTTAAGGAACACGTAGAAAAGTGTTTTTTTTTTTTTTACTTGCTGTTCACTCCGCCGACTATTCAGCCACTGCGGCTAAGCGGCAACATCCATCGGCACTGCGCGCTGCGAAGGGTGGCCTCACAAAAATATGAGACCGGCCGTGCGAAGGTTTGATATCTCGCACAACATATAGATTGCTCTCATCACGCTATGAAGCTTACATCAAAGCTAAGCCTAAATGCTGGCATTGAGCACGCGTCTGACACGATGTGCAACTGCTGCTCGCGCACGTCGTAGCGCTCGTCGCGCGTCTTGGTTGGAAACTGATGTCAAGTGGTTGCAAGGCAGCGCGCGGAGAAAGTGAGCTGTGTAGTAAGCCACAAATAAAGACCAAGTGATCTCACGCGTCCTTCCGTTAAAGCAATCAGCGTCGTCAATCGACAAGAAAGGTAAAAAAAAAAAAGACTCTTCTGCTAGTAAACCTTGCCTCGCACTTTTTGAAAACCACGCTTGCTAGCGTGCTATGTGGGGCCACCATTTTTAGATGCGAAGCAATGAGTAGCTTGTGTAACGCTGTCCCTCCGTGCGAATGCGCCGCAGCGCGTTCCCCTCGCCACAGGCGTTGTAGCGGTGTCAAATAGGTCACACCGCAGCTGCGCATTGACGTCACTCTTTCCCTCGCCTGCCGCGCGCTCGCCGCAGCTGCCGCCTCGTCCGTTGAACCACAACACCTGATTCGCTTTCAGGATTTCAAGCTGGACGGTTGTGCCCTCGCGATCTCCGACTTCAGCGTAGCTCCCGCCGACTGGTTCGCCCTCCGCGGTCTCCTGAAGCCGTGCAGCTCTCGCATTGTGGCACCCCGCCCTTGGACTGCTTCGACCGGATCCCCACTTTCCTATCTCCTTCTTTTTCCTCTCGTTGGCTGTCTTCTTCTCCGTCTATTTTCCTTCTATTCTTTTTATCCCTCCTTCCCCCCAACCCTATAAGGCACTGCGCCGTGTCGCCTGAAGGCAGACAGAAATTAGGTGCTTTTTTCCTCTTCATTCTAACCACTACCACCACCACCACCGCCGACTTGTCGGTTCACGCGCAATAAACCTGACGCGCGCATGCAGCCTAACGTACGCGTTGAAACATGTCTGTACGTGTCACCTAGCCATTTCTCGCTTCACCCTCTCCACCGCTCGCAACGGTCGAGCGCACACCGAGTGTTAACACACTTTTGGCTCGTTTATCTGCGATAGAGAGGAACATTGCTTCAAACTAATGTTCCAGCACTCGCCGCAGCACCCGCGTTAACGCCGTTCAACCCGTGACACCACCCGTGCGCAACACTGCTGCTTCGCATCCAATCAGGGTTCCCTTTGGGAAGATGGTCTGAATTTTCGCGAATCGCACACCGACGAACACATGCAGTAGGTGCTGCTGCGGGGACTTATCGCTATTCACAGACTACCTGACTGCGTATGTCGTGCAGTGGCATTCGTTAAGTCCCAAGTGAAATGCTAAACTAATGTGAGGAAAGAAAGCGGATGTGATCTCATTATTGGTCTTGAGCACTTAGCGAACACTACAACGTCTTTCGCGATTCCCGTCTATGGCGTATCCGAGCAGTTGTAATACCGAAGCAGAGGGGATGAGGGAGAGAGTTCGGCCGTCTGTTTACGCCTCCCCGCTCCTAAAAAACCGGTGACACTTTTTGGGGAGGATGACCTGTCATGCACAGAAAGCGTATGTGCCATGCTTGCATTGTTATTAATACTAAATTTAGCACACATCTTGGGCATTCCAGCCGGAATGTCACACTCTTTCGCTCTAAAAACTTCATGAATGACTGCTCTCGTGATGTCGGCCTTGTCTGCTTTGCAGCAGCAATTCCTGTATGCACACTCATAACAATATTCGTCGAATATTTAGGCATTTTCTGCTCCAAGTGATTCTAAATTCCGTCTTGGCTGCTCCAAAACAGAGTTATGGTTGCTTCTTTTTTTGCGCTGGTAAATCTATCCTAATCATGAACCAGCTCGCCTAAGGAGCAATTTTGGCTGCTCCAGATCTGCTCCAAAACAGAGTTTTTTCTGCTCCGAGAATCGCTCCAAATCATAATCTGGCTGGATCACCACTGCGTATGTATTGACAAAAGAGGCGCGAGCCAGCAATTCAACTTCATAAACGCAGCCTACCGTGGCCGCATACAATTGCTTCTGTCCTAAGTGGGCACCATACGCGCCAGTGATTCAGCAGTTGTAAATCCAAAGGGGCTCTATTTGTGAACACTTGGCAGTACGCAGTAATCGATGGTGACCTGAACAACTAGTCTTCACACGCGAAAACATTTTTCGAGCAGGTTGGCGAAAGCACGCACACCGCTGGCGTTCGCAAAAGCCGCGTCCGTAAAACACGTGATCTCTCGCAGAAAGTGATGCCGGCGCCACCAGGCGCCACAGCAATCAACAGCGGGCGCGGCTGTGTTTCGTGCTAGGTGTGTTCTGTGGCTAGGTCGGCTGCAGCCGCATCGTAGAAGAAAGGAATCGCTGTAGCAGACTTCATCACACCTCCATAACGATAGCCTAGCTAAAAGAAACGCATTCGTGCAATGGAAGGCCGGGAGCGAGAGAGCCTCCGCTGGCGTGTCGTAGGTCTCGGAAGCCACGCTCTAGTTTGTTTGTTGGATCGATGCACAGCCAGATGCCGCCACAACACTACATTACTCGCATTTGCCCATCGGTTGTTGCACAAGTGATATTATTGCAGAACGTATCAGGTGCGCCTGAAAAATAGGTGGGAGGCACTGCGCCGTGCTCCCGACCGGGTTGCAGAAATTAGGTGCCTTTTCTCATCTTCTAACCACTACCACAAAAATAGGTGGGGTGGCGCGGAAGTTTAAATCATTATAATAAGCACACAGTTCACATAGACCACGTTCATTGAATTTGGACGGGTATGTTAATTATTCGAAGGATCCCACGCTACAGGATAAAACTGGAGTGTATAAAGTATCGCTAAAACAGCTTCAATGTCCCTGTGTTCAAGAGCAGGCGTAACCGGGATTTCAGAATTTTAAGCCTCTCCAGTCTAGCCGACCAGAAATGGGCCGTCCAGCAAGCGCATAATGCGGCTTGCTGGACTCCAAACGTGGGAGCTCTGAGCGCGCACTCGTGTGCTCCTTGCAGAAATTAATAATGTTATAAGGTTCTTGTGGTGGGTTCCGATGCATAATTTAATACAAGGAGGCAGCAAATTCTTTGTGCGAGGCATAGTCGAAGACGTGTATTGTAATAATTAGTGCGAAATTATATTGTGTATATATCGCACACACGCGAAACAACGCGAACGGGCAAAGGACGCATATATCCTGTCAAATTTATCTCCTGGAGTGCTGCCCTTATAAGCAACAATTACAAAAATGTTAAAGATAGATAGATAGATAGATAGATAGATAGATAGATAGATAGATAGATAGATAGATAGGCACAGATAGATAGATAGGCATAGATAGATAGATTAGATAAATAGATAGATAAATAGATTAGATAGATAAGTAGATTAGATAGATAGATAAATAGATTAGATAGATAGATAGATAGATAGATAGATAGATAGATAGATAGGCATAGATAGATAGATTAGATAGATAGATAAATAGATTAGATAGATAGATAGATAGATAGGCATAGATAGATAGATAGATAGATAGTAG